CTTACCGTGACCCCAGACGTCTGCTAGTTCACGTCAATAATGCCCATTTCCAGGCTTGGTGCCTTGTTGCCCATGCCCCGCAAAGCGGCACTCCCATGCAAGATAGGCAGGATTGGTGGTCACAAACACGTGACATTTTGCTGCGCAGTATGGGCACAGGTGAGCAGTTATTCCTTTGCATTGATGCCAACGCAGCGCCTGGCTTTCCAGATGGCAATTGTGTGTTTCAGGCAGGTTTTAGAACGTCCAGCGGTACTCCGCTTTTGCGTGAATTCTTGGACGAATTTGACCTGTGCCTACCCATCACCAGTCGCCTGCATGAAGGGTCCACCACCACATGGACCTCACCGGATGACGGAGAGTTCACCATTGATTATGTAGCCATTCCTAGGAAGTGGTTTGGTGCCTGTGTCCTCTCCAAGGCGCTCACAGAATTTGACTTGGCCAATATTCAAATGGACCACACAGCAGTTGCTTTGGAACTCAGCTGGAATCAAGACATTCTCATCCCCACCAAGCGGGCATGCACCCGTGCTGTTTTTGATAGATCACGCATCACTTCCGCCGTCTCTTCTGACCTCACTCGATCTGCAGATTGTCAGTGGAAAGACGATGTTGAACACCATGCAAACCAAATTGCAGAACACTTTCGAGGTCACCTGAGTCGACACTTTCCATTGCATCCAAACGGTCCGAAGAAGCCATACATTTCTGAAGAACTCTGGCTGCTGAGAGGGGAGAAAATCTTCCTGCGCAATCAACTCCGCAAGGGAAGACAGCTTTTGCGTCACGAGTACCTTGCGCGAATCTTTATAGCCTGGAAGACTGTAGTGCCTGATCAGTGTGAACAGACCAGTCGACAAAGAGTTCTGGATTTATCCTTTGCATTTGGAACTACGTTGAGGATTGGCTGCCTCAAACGCTATATCCAGTTTGCAGCGGTGACGACGAAGCTGAGGCAAGCCATCCAACATAGCCGTCAGCAGAAGTTGCAGGATGTGCTGCAGCAGGTTTCACCTGCCACGCCAGCGTCGACTATCCAGAAATTGTTGCGACCCTTTAAGGGCCCTACCAACAAACTTCGTCAGGGCATGGCACCCCTCCCTCTCATTCAAGATGAAAGAGGAGAATTCTGCAGAACAGCGGATAGTGCGTTACACCGCTGGATTACCTTTTTCGGTCAGATGGAAGGAGGGCACAGAGTTTCGGAACAAGAGCAGTGGACTACCTGGAGGAATCACCTCAAGCACTTCTTGCAAGAGGAGACAAGCATTCCGGTCGAAGAGGTTCCATCGTTATGTGAACTAGAAGTGGCCTGCCGCCGCACAGCAGCAGGAAAAGCCTCTGGACTTGATGATCTTCCATCGGAGGTCTGCAAATTGTGCCCCAGAGCGGTTGCAGCACATTTGTACAGTCTGCTCCTCAAAACATGTGCACATGGTCAGGAAGCCCTTTCTCACAAAGGGGGTATCCTTCTCCCCATCTGGAAGGGCAAGAACGACAAAGCTCAGTGCTCTGCGTTCAGATCAATCCTGCTGTCTTCGTGTTTTGGTAAAGTGATGCATAAAGCCATACGTTCGAAGCAGCTCAGCCTGTATCAGACCTTCATGCAAGCACAGCAGATAGGTGGACGCCAAGGGGTTCCGGTGACTCTTGGAAGTCATCAAGTACGAGCCTTCCAAAGGCTATGCTGCCGCATGAAACAGCCTTCAGCGCTCTTGTTCATTGATTTGCAGGAAGCATTCTACAGGATCATCAGACCGTTAGTTGTGGATGGTCCAATCGATGATGAAATGATTGCGAGTATGGCAGCTCGCATTGACCTTGATGATGGATTCCTGCATGACCTACGCGATGCGTTGCGTCAGCCCTGCGCACTGGAGGAAGCAGGTGTCCCACTTCACCTGAGACGTGCCATTCGTGCACTCCACACTGACACGTTCTTCAAGCTGCCCACTCAAAAGGATCAGGTGCTGACACACATATTCACGAGGCCAGAATATTCGTTTGCCGATGTCATCTTCGGTTATATGATGGCAAAGGTCCTCCACAAATTCCAAACTGACATGGATGCGTTGGGACTCCTCATGCACATTCCCATTGAGGAGGCCTTTGGCAAAGAAATCTCCTCGCCCAGGGCCAGGTTCCCCTTCGTCGGGCCCTGTTGGATGGACGATCTCTGCATATGCCTTACCGCGACATCCAACAATAGACTGGAAAATGCGTTGGGCACCGCCACGGGAGCCATCCTGGATACCTTCAAGAGCTTTGCCATGACTCCGAATCTTCAACCAGGCAAAACCGCTATTGTGGTCACCCCACGTGGTTTGGGCACCCATAGTTGGAAGAAACGATTGTTTGGACCCTCCACAGATGGGTATTTCTTTTGCATTGGAGAGCACCATGCGTATCGAGTACCTTTGGTGACGGAATATACTCATTTGGGAGGAAAAGTCCACTTCTCCAACACGGTGAAGAAAGAAATAAAATTTCGCTTGGGGCAAGCCCATCAGGAGTTCAACAAGCACAGAAAACTTCTCTACCAGAATGTGAACTTCGCCATGGATAAGAAGCGGGAGCTCTTTCACAGTCTCATTTTGAGTAGGCTCTTATATGGCGCCGAGACTTGGACCATCTTGGACCAGAAGACGAAGGAGTACCTCCACGGGGGCATCATTGGTCTATTCAAACGACTTCTCAAATGGCCATGTGACCGACCTGTCAGTGACGAAGAGGTGCTCTTTCGCACTGGCATGTCCTCTCCGTCAGAGCTTTTGCGAGTGCGTCGCTTGCGATATTTGGTTCTTTGATGGCGGTTGCCGACACGGCTTGTTGGGGGCTTCTCAATCAAGATGAAGAGTGGCAAGAGTTGGTCAGAGATGATTTTCGCTGGATGTGGCACCACCTTCAGAATTGCAGCGATTTAGGTGACCCTGCTTTGCATCTCCCCCGTTGGGTCGAAATCATTCGATGGCACAGAGGGTTTTGGAGGAGACTTGTGCGCAGAGCGTCGGAACATGCTATTGGAGTCAGAAAGCGGGAGTTCCTGGTGGCCGCGGCCCATACTCGCTTCATCCGCCATTTGGAGGAGTTTGACTTCATTTACCGTACAGGACACATCGGAAGCTTGTCCAGATGAAGGTCCTGTTTTTGGATGTATGCAATGTCGGCTCTCTTGCAAGACTCTGGGGGGAGAAGGTGCTCACATGTACCGTACCCATGGAGAGACTCATCCAGTACGAACTCTGATGGGGAATACACAGTGCGGAGCATGCCTGCGTGAGTATTTCACCATGGGCAAATTGAAAGCACACCTCATCAGATCAGACGTATGTCGGACTACTTTACTTGGTCGGGGACATTGTGAACCTGTCCTTCCGGGTTTGGGGTCCACTGAAGACACCTTGCGTAAGTCGGCATGGGACAACAAATTACCGCCTCTGGCAGCAGAAGGACCGCAACTCCCTGAGGGCCGACTCAGGGACTTTGAAGTCGAACATGGAGCCCTCTATGAGGACATCATCTTGGGGGTGCTGGAGAAGGACATCACCATCTTCGAGCACTATGTGCGGGAGTGCATTTCTCGAAGGCCTATTTCTTGGACGCTATGCCACAGAACACTGCAGGAGGCACACCGACAGTGTCTTCATGGCATTCCAGATATGACGCCGGAGCAATTGAGTCCGTTCCTGCAGACCATTGAGCGTTTGGCATCATCTATTGAGTGGCCTTTTTTGCTTGCACGCCGCCCCTCGCCAGTGGCTACCACACTGGGCTTCGATGTCATTGCGCAGACGATTGAGGAGCTCGAAATCACTTCTTCCCAGCGCAGGGTCCCTCGACCGTTGGGCAAGGAGAGAGTTTTCCTTCATGCCTTTTCCGGCCGACGTAGGCCTGGTGACCTGCAACACTACTTGGAGGCAGCCTTTTCCCGACTCTCGGATGGGGTCCTTCTCCACGTGGTATCTATGGATGTGGTGATCGACGAGCACTGGGGCGACGCCTGCAACCCAGAGACTCGAGACTTTTGGCTGCGTGGAGCAAGAGCTGGATACGTACAGGGCGGCCTATGTGGGCCTCCCTGTGAGACATGGAGCCAAGCTCGCTTCGCGCAGTTAGAAGAGGCCATCGGACGTCAACCGAGACCGGTGCGATCTCGGGAGGACCTTTGGGGCTTACAGTCATTGGCTCTGCGTGAACTACAGCAGGTCGCGGTGGGCAATGAATTGCTTCTTTTTTCGCTGGAGCTGATGATCTGCCTTGCCTGCTCTGAGGGCTGCGGGGTCTTAGAACACCCGGGAGAACCGAAGGATCCGAATAAACCATCGATCTGGAGGCTCCCAATCATGCAATTTTTGTGTCTTTTGCCAGGGTTTGAGTACGTGGATTTTGCACAGGGGCTACTTGGTGCGAAGACACCAAAGCCCACGCGCTTTCTCACCCTCAATATGGACACTTTACCCCAATTCATCCATTCCCATCGCATTTGCGCTGATCTCCCAAAGACGGCGGCCATTGGAAAGGATGCCATGGGCCAGTGGGCCACCACAGGCTTAAAGGAATACCCTCCAGCATTAAATCGTGCGTTGGGTGAATCCTTTGCTCACCATCTCTTGCAACGTGACATGGATGATTCCGTTTCTGTTGACAATGATTTTCTGGATCGCTGTAGGCTCATGCATGTCGATGTGTTTGGGAGCCGCATTGGACCTGATTATCACCAGAAACATGTGGGCAAGAGATAGGGAGCTCGCTGTTGAATTCAATACGCTTCGCCGCGACAAACTGTCACAAAAGGCCGTAGAAAAAAATTCTAGGAGTATGTTTGGAGATGTTTGGATGTGTTTGGATATCTTGTTTTGGTTTGGGGTGGATTAGTGTTAAGGATTGGGGTCGAGGAATTTCCGCAGCACTAAGCTGAGAATGATTGGAAGGTTGTGTTTGATGCCATCGCAACAACATCAACATTCAGCAGTCCCGGACAAAACCCCTCGCCGCAGGAATTCCAGAAGCAGTTGCATGGGCAGAGCTCCCTGAACTCAGAGGTCGGACCGTCAGCCCGTCGGATCGGGGAAAAGTCCGGGTGAGGCTACGGATGCCCAAGACACCCACGGACGGTCAAAAAGAAACCACCTGGGTTGAGAAGCGACGTGTTTTTTTTTGTGCATATGAATGATAGATGATCGATGGATAGGTGGCTTGAGACCCTCTCAAACTCATGCCGGCCACCTTGGTTGTCGCTGGCAGATCGCCAGATGTGAAGAGCAAGTGAAGGACCGATAGTGGTGGAAGGTGTTTCGATTCAGGGACCAAGTGATTTGGGAGCTTCAGTATCAGTATCACATGGTTTCATGTCTTTGGTGCAGCAAAACCGATGCATTGGCTAAGAATGGTTGGGGTAACCCGGTTCCCCCCTCATGTTCAGGGGAACCTTGGAAAGGCCCGAAAGGCCATCATTCTGAAGGTGGCCCAAGTCCTACTTCCGAGGAACTGAGGCTGCTGCATGAGAAGTCTTCGGCCGAGGATCGGGGCCATCAACTGGGGAGTTGGAACGGAATTTAGGATCGCTGATTGACATTGAGCTGAAGGAAGTTTAAGATGTTCTGCTGGGATTTCTGAGGAACTCACAGATTTTCTGGTGGATCCTCCAAGGCAGATGAGCAGGCAGCACATGTTAGTGCACTAATATCCGATTTGGATACCTTTATCTTAGAGAGGTTGGGTGAGGTTGGGTGGCCATAGAACTAGGACCCTAGGCTCTCTGCGGTTTACTTCCCTTCTTTTCACATCATTTTGGAGCAACATCTTTTTCACACATCAATCTCAAACGGGCTCAGAATTTCTTTCATGCTCAATTCCTTCAGTTGCCAAGGACCCACAAGCTGCGCAGATGGGTGAAATGTCACTGCAGATCAGGAGATGCGAACAGCAAGTGAAGGAGCCCACGAGCGAGTGCTTCTTCACCGCTTATGGCAAGCTTGAAGCATTATGAAGCATTCGCTCGTCAACGTAAGTCACTGGAATGATGATAGGATTCGGAGAATCATCCCCATGGGGTTGGCCTTATTTCAGGTTAGCGAAATATGACAATTGATTCAGAAACATCATGACACATCTACTTGAGGATATTTGATGCACTCAACAAACGATGGGCGAATCAACAGACTTTGGTTTCCCCGTTGCGGATTTTGTCTGAAAAATAACGTTTTTGTGGCAGGAACTCCAAGAAGAGCTTCGTGAAGAGAAGTCTTCAAAACCCCAGGTTTGGCAACCTGGGTGCTGCACATGGCTATTGGAACTAGTTGGGAAATTAATGGAAATAACATGTGTGGAACATTCAACCTTTCCAGTGCCTGATCCCAGATACTACTGAGAATGGGCTGCGCTTTAAAGAAGACCATGCAATGGGTTTGGGTGTTCGTATTGTGTGAATTTTGAGATGCCCAAATAAGATTCCAAATTAGCGAACATCTGTTATGGCCATTCTAAGGGGAAGCTACTTGGGATGCGGACGTGATCCACGTTTTGAAATGTGAAGCACGCACCTTTGCACGCTTTTCTTCCCCTGGGTCTAAGTCAAGTGGGGGGGGCGAACAGAGTGATTTTGCAGCTGACCGACACTTGTTTCAAGGCAGATGCAGGTGGTTTCTGCCACTCTTGTCCCCTTGGAACTTGACGCAGCACGGTGATATCTTCATGGTCCGCAGGTGGATGGTGTATCTGAGATGGCAAAGCAGCTGAGCAGATGCGAAGAACAGATCGAGGAGAGCTGAGGGTGTCCTGACGGTCGGAGAGTTATCATAATCATTCATAATCCTTCATGTCCTTGTCCGGTTTTCGTTCTGGCTGAGAGATCAGCTTGGCCGAACTTGCACAACTGGAATGTTTTGGACACATTCTGCGCTGAGAGAGAACGCTGTAGTGACTGTAGTGACACTGAAAGCACGAAAGGAATCCCCAGTGATCAAATTTGATCTCTCGACGTTCAAAACCGATGATTTCCATCCGATTTTGGGACTGACAGGAGCTTCAAACTCAGCTGCAAGTGCTGCCAAGCAGCTCCCTGGCGGTGTCAGACCGGGAGGCATGGTCGAGCCGGGGTATCTGCTGGATGTGGAAGTTTGGTTTAAGTTTAACATGGTGAAACGCCATAAATTCAATGGGGAATCAAGTTTCCGGCTTAAAGGCTTTAAAGGCTTTAAAGGCCGAACATGTTGACTTGAACTTCCGGCTGATTTTGTTTGCACAGCCAGGATTGGTCAGGATTGGCCACTGGTTGGCCAATGGTTGGCCATGATTCTCTTGAATTCTTTTGATCCATTTCATAGGGGAGCACATATTGCACATGTCCCTGCCCATGATTCCCAGAGCTTGTGGGGCATCACTGAAAATGACATGAAATCTCTTTTTGCCCTGCTGTTTGTGGTTTGGAAGTTGGAAGGATCCACAAGTCTCAGAGATCTTGGGAAAGTTTCATACCTCAAGATGTGAACATCCATGGTTGTTAAACTCTCCCTTGATATCCTATTGATATAGATATATATTGATCGAAGGAAGTTTAGAAGTCAAACTTCCGACAATATGGAGAGATGAAAAGCAGAGCAGGGAAGAGGCATAGAGAAGAGAAAGATTAGAAGAAAGAAGATTAGAAGAGAAAGAGTAAGAAAACAGAAGATACAGATGCGCGAAAAGGTAGGAAAGTCGCGAAACACTGTGTTTTTCCAATGATTTGTGGCTCCGGAGGGTCGAAAAGTAGGCTCGCTAAAGCGGCGGGTGCGGAGCCAGCTGGCCAGATGAGAGATGAAAAATTGCACGCCGTTGTGGCGCGAAGCACATTTCCAAGTCAAAATGTACAAAACACACCAGGTCCGGACCACTTTTGGAAGTTGAGATGTCGAAAAAAGTGCACGCCGTTGTGGCGCCGTTGAAGCACATTTCCAAGTCAAAATGTGCAAAACACCAGGGGTTCGGACCACTTTTGGAAGTTGAGATGTCGAAAAAGTGCACGCCGTTGTGGCGCGAAGCACATTTCCAAGTCAAAATGCACAAAACACCTCAGCTCCGGACCACTTTTGGAAGTTGCGATGTCGAAAAAGTGCACGCCGTTGTGGCGCGAAGCACATTTCCAAGTCAAAATGTACAAAGCACCAGGGGTTCGGACCACTTTTGGAGGTTGCGATGTCGAAAAAAGTGCACGCCGTTGTGGCGCGAAGCCCATTTTCAAGTCAAAAGTGTTAAAAACTGACGGTCTCGGACCACTTTTGGAGGTTCAGATGTCGAAAAAGTGTCGAAAAAGTGCACGCCGTTGTGGCGCGAAGCACATTTCGAAGCCAAAAGTGTAAAAAACTGCGGGTTTTGAGCCTTTTTTGACGTGAAGATGTCGAAAAAGTAGACACTGATTAACTTAACTAACTTGACTAACTTAACTAACTTCACTAACTTAACTACCCTAACCTCGACAAACAGCAACAGCAACAGCAACAGCAACAACAACAACAACAACAACAACAACACCAACACCACAACACCAACACCAACCACAACAACTACAACTACAACAACAATAGATCGAGAGATGGAGAGATAGATAGATAGATAGATAGGTAGGTAGGTAGGTAGATAGATAGATAGATAGATAGAGAGAGAGATAGATAGATAGATAGATAGATAGATAGATAGATAGATAGATAGATAGATAGATAGATAGATAGATAGATAGATAGATAGATAGATAGATAGATAGATAGGTAACTAGATAGGTAATTAGATGAAAAAGAGAGAGAGATAGAGAGATCGATAGATAGATAGATAGATAGATAGAAGATAGATAGGTAGGTAGGTAGGTAGGTAGGTAAGTAGGTAGGTAGGTAGATAGGCAGAGAAAGAGAGAGAAAGAGTGAGAGAGATCAAGCACCTTTCAATCCATCAGTGGATTCGCTTTGCCATCCCTGATTCACAACAACCAACCTCTCCTATAGGTTTTCTATTTTTGAAACTTCCGCCACCGCCTTGTGCGGTACTACTGGTATCCACCCAGTTGTCCCACCTACCACGGTATCCCATGTGTTTTATGAAAGTTATCCCATTGGATCCCATGGGGAATCCCATGTTGTTATCCCACTGATCCAGGTGACTTTGCCGCCTGACTTCACCGAGCGCCTGCAGAAGTGCGAGCGACAGAATCAGGACTTGGAAGCGCCATGGGAACACCTGGGAAACCATGAGGGTCCAACTGTTGATATTTGCGATGTGGCTTATTATACCTTAATATACCTTATTAGGTATATTAGAGTATTCTAGGAGTATGTTTGGAGATGTTTGGATGTGTTTGGACATCTTGTTTTGGTTTGGGGTGGATTAGTGTTAAGGATTGGGGTCGAGGAATTTCCGCAGCACTAAGCTGAGAATGATTGGAAGGTTGTGCTTGATGCCATCGCAACAACATCAACATTCAGCAGTCCCGGACAAAACCCCTCGCCGCAGGAATTCCAGAAGCAGTTGCATGGGCAGAGCTCCCTGAACTCAGAGGCCGGACCATCAGCCTGTCGGACCGGGGAAAATGGAATGATAGATGATCGATGGATAGGTGGCTTGAGACCCTCTCAAATTCATGCCGGCCACCTTGGTTGTCGCTGGCAGATCGCCAGATGTGAAGAGCAAGTGAAGGACCGATAGTGGTGGAAGGTGTTTCGATTCAGGGACCAAGTGATTTGGGAGCTTCAGTATCAGTATCACATGGTTTCATGTCTTTGGTGCAGCAAAACCGATGCATTGGCTAAGAATGGTTGGGGTAACCCGGTTCCCCCCTCATGTTCAGGGGAACCTTGGAAAGGCCCGAAAGGCCATCATTCTGAAGGTGGCCCAAGTCCTACTTCCGAGGAACTGAGGCTGCTGCATGAGAAGTCTTCGGCCGAGGATCGGGGCCATCAACTGGGGAGTTGGAACGGAATTTAGGATCGCTGATTGACATTGAGCTGAAGGAAGTTTAAGATGTTCTGCTGGGATTTCTGAGGAACTCACAGATTTTCTGGTGGATCCTCCAAGGCAGATGAGCAGGCAGCACATGTTAGTGCACTAATATCCGATTTGGATACCTTTATCTTAGAGAGGTTGGGTGAGGTTGGGTGGCCATAGAACTAGGACCCTAGGCTCTCTGCGGTTTACTTCCCTTCTTTTCACATCATTTTGGAGCAACATCTTTTTCACACATCAATCTCAAACGGGCTCAGAATTTCTTTCATGCTCAATTCCTTCAGTTGCCAAGGACCCACAAGCTGCGCAGATGGGTGAAATGTCACTGCAGATCAGGAGATGCGAACAGCAAGTGAAGGAGCCCACGAGCGAGTGCTTCTTCACCGCTTATGGCAAGCTTGAAGCATTATGAAGCATTCGCTCGTCAACGTAAGTCACTGGAATGATGATAGGATTCGGAGAATCATCCCCATGGGGTTGGCCTTATTTCAGGTTAGCGAAATATGACAATTGATTCAGAAACATCATGACACATCTACTTGAGGATATTTGATGCACTCAACAAACGATGGGCGAATCAACAGACTTTGGTTTCCCCGTTGCGGATTTTGTCTGAAAAAAAACATTTTTGTGGCAGGAACTCCAAGAAGAGCTTCGTGAAGAGAAGTCTTCAAAACCCCAGGTTTGGCAACCTGGCTGCTGCACATAGCTATTGGAACTAGTTGGGAAATTAATGGAAATTACATGTGTGGCACATTCAACCTTTCCAGTGCCTGATCCCAGATACTACTGAGAATGGGCTGCGCTTTAAAGAAGACCATGCAATGGGTTTGGGTGTTCGTATTGTGTGAATTTTGAGATGCCCAAATAAGATCCCAAATTGGCGAACATCGACAGGTTTCCGCCTTCAATCCTCATGAGGAGGAGACCACCAGCTGTGTCAGACGGAGCCAAAGGGTAGCGTCTCCCAAGAATCTCCAATGATTGCACTGCTTTCCATCCAATCAGATTCAGCAAATAATGAAATGAGATGACATGACCTGACATGACATGAACTGCTATGACATGATATCAATGATACCAGTATGAAATGAAGTGATATACGATATGATATGATATGATTTCATATGCTATGATGATTCCAACTTTCCTCCCATTTGATATTTGGATGTTTCAGTCTCGGCCGTAGGACCTCACAGACCATCAGTTGATGTTGCTGGATTTGCAACAAAGAGTACGGGATGTCCAGCTGGGGCTTATCAGCAGGTAACTGGGTTGCTGTCGTTTTTTCATGTTTTCTAAAACTCTACTATTTATTATTTTTGCGGGTCAAGTTGAAACAAAAATGAAACAAATGCAAGGAGTTTGAATATGTTTGAATTGTTGTTTAGAGGACGCTTGCAGGAATATAATATATATATGGTGATGAGAAACAGTAGACCTAGTTTTTCTGGATCACCGTGCAGCCTTAAGCCATCGTGGCTCATCACAATCCACTTCTGTCAGGGGAGGCTCCCTGCGACACGCCATCCTGTTTCCGTAATCTGACAGCACCTAACTATAATTGGTATACAGTATTTGAGTCATTGGAATTGCTATTCAGCTTCCGAGCCTGGTCGCTTATGGCAGTTGACATTCAGTGGAGTTTTTTGTCCGACCCAATCACCACATACAAGGTCTCAATGTCAAGATCCCATGATATACTCACTGGTGCTTAGTAGGGAATGAGGGAATGATCCATAATCACTAGTAATAATAATCCCAGCAACCCCCAGCAACCCATCCATTCCCTACGTTTAGCACCAGTAAGTTGGGTTGGTGCATCGGTGCGTCCTTTCTCTTTCAATTCAGGTCTCATCCTTGGAAGGGCCAGGCGGAGAGTTGTGGGCTTGGCTGAGCACAGTTGATCACATGGCTGCAGAACAGGATTCTGCCCAGTGTATCCAGGTACATCCCAGCCGGTGCATCCCATTTCCAGATGACTTGCGGAAACAGCATGATGGTTTTCCACTGCCATGTTTGATTGTCCGAAAGGTGTCAATTCCCTATGCCTGTGAAGGTCTTGTTGAATTCTCTATTACCTTATTGAACATTGCAATGATGTTATCGTGGGGTTCTCATGGGGTCATTGCCTTGCAATAGTTCCACATAGATAGCGACACCACCATTGTTTGGTGGCTTCATACCCCCAGCATCTCCCCCAGAATATCCAGCAATGGTGGGATCCACAGTCGTCACCATGGTTGTTTTAATACTAACTCATGGTCCAAAAACATTTGGATGATTTGGGGGTTACCCCCCATGACTTTGGAAACCCTCCAGGAATGATAATCAATCATTATAGACTACAACTGCTAGTTAATTATCCCATTAATCACAATGTTAATTCACCATGAATCACCATTAGTCACGGTTAATTCACCATAAATCATGCCATAAGTTCCCCATTTTTTAGGCCTTCCCCTGCTGCATCCTCTTCAGGCGAACTCGTGGCCTCCTCTCCACAGTCCGGCGTCTTGGGGCAGGCGGCGGAACTGGCCCGGGCGGCCCAGCAGTTTCACAGAGCTAAACGTCCAGCAGAGCTGACCTGGCTGACAAGTCATCGACCTGAGGATGTTTTTGATATTTTTTGATCGTTGATTTGTCCTGCCATCGTTGGCGGGTCTAAGACTCTAAGACTTGCCAAGTCGCGGCTAAGATTCAGAAGATCGAGCTCGACTTGCAACAAGCTCGGGCAGCAGTAGTACCAGGCAAGGGGTGGCAACAGCAAGAAATCCTCTCGAAGATGGGTTGATTCAGTGGGATGCCAGGGTCTCTGTGAGAACCTCAGCAATATCAAAAAAACAATCGTGGACCAACCACTCCAGGCAGGGTCAAAGCATCATGCGCTCAGGATCGTTCAGGAAACGTGTCAGTGTCAGTGTCCCATTCATACTTGCTTGTTGCATCTAAACGCACTCTGCTTTACATCCTGTAGTATATGCAGTTTCAAGTTTGCAGCAATGAACATCCACAGATATTTTCCATGGAATTGAAAATATGTGTGATTCCCAGCCTGACCTACTACAACTATAGCCTCTGGTAAACTAACATAGCTATGGAAAATTATGGAAAATCACCGTGTTCAATAGCTATGTTAAATTACCAGAGGCTAATAATCTATAAACATCTATTAATAGTAATTATATGGTAACAGGATTAGAGCCACATCTATAAACATTACTCTATGGTGGCTCTATGTAATAATCTATGTTGCGATTCTTGAGTTCTTCCACCATCTCAAGAGCCACCCGAATCCAGGCCTCGACATGACGCCGTGCGCGGCTTAGCCGCTGAGGGCATGGATTCCACTGCAATGTCTCCTAGCAGATCTAGTTCCCAAATTGAAAAGGGAACCCAGGGAACCCCCATAGAATTCCATTGTTAAATATCAAATTCATTTAAATTCCATCAAACATATTTCAAATTGTTGATAGCAGGATAGACAAGCCACCTTCTCAAGGGATTCCAATCGTGGCGGCGGCCCAAGCCCCGTGTTTTCCGTGACGCCACCAAAGAGTGGCCAGCGATGAAGGCATTGAGACAGAAGCTCCAAAAACATGCCGTGACGCGGCAATGGGTGGGCCTCGACTCTGACAAGCAAGCGCTATCGCAAGATGAGCAAGAGCCGCTTGGCGATGTGATAGGCATTGATATGCCACCTGAATTCACCTGATGTGACCTGAAAAACAATTGAGTGTTTCGAACATCATATTTCTCCGTCGGAAAAGACTATAAAAATTATAAAAGACTCTGTCGTTTCAGGCAACGCTAATATCAAGAAATCCAGTTTCCGTGTGGAAAAATTTGGTCAGTTGGCCCAGGTTACGACAAGAGCTGGAGTGGCAGCAGAACGTCACTGACGCCTTGACATCTTATGGCAAAGTCCTGGAAACTGCCACCTACAGTTTGCTGGAAGCTCATCAATCTCTCATGGACCGCGCGAGAGGGGTTGATTGAAAGGCCGTATTTTACTGATTTTTACTGTATAGCTTCACCGGCTAAGTTAAAAGGTCAGTGGAATCCGATAAAAAACCACGAGCACATCCGTTGATTTTGTCAGGTGGTTGATGATCTAATTTTCAGGTCTTTGAATAGAACACCTGAACCAATGGTCGCTGGTTCTGACGCTGCAATGGTTGGGTGATTTTCACATCAGACAGTAGTCACAACACCGTGTGTTGGATCAATCCACACTGCCTCAGCTTGTTGTTTGATCAAATTATCCATGACTACACTCCTTAGATATGACGAAGATGTCAATGTGAGCAATTAAAGATCCGACATCTTCGGATAGTCGCATTCTTGCCAGCATCACCACATATCACCACATAGGGCTTACATCAATGTGGACAGTCCCGTAGGGTCTATGTTAAAGTCACGAAAGGTAGCGTCAGCTACCTGAGTTCTCCGTGCTTCAGCACAATCATAGGGGGTATTGGGGGGCCAGCCCGGGTCAAACGTGGAATTCTCGCCGTTATGTATTGGATATCAATTATAAGGGGGGGGCCCCCCCAAAAATGTAAAAAAAGTTGATTGAGTGACGTTTTCTAAACTAATATCATGGCAGTATAACAACGCAAAATTTATTCATTAAAAAAACATAACAGTCTAAAAAGTCTTGATTAGCATTGTTGGTTGCTGCATTTTTCTCAGCAATATCAAAACATAATTACCTCATTCAATTTTTCAAAAATCATAGCAGTCAAAAACATAATTACCTCATTCAATTTTTCAATAATCATACCAGTCAAAAACATGATAAACATGATTACCTCATTCAATTTTTCAAAAATCATACCAGTCAAAAACATAATTACCTCATTCAATTTTTCAAAAAACATATCAGTCAAAAACATAATTACCTCATTCAATTTTTTAAAAAACATACCAGTCAAAAACAGAATTACCTCATTCAATTTTTCAAAAATCATACCAGTCAAAAGCAAATTTACCACATTCATTTCATAAAAAAAACATAACAGTCAATTCATCATTCATTTCTGAAAAATTGAATGAGGTAATTCTGTTTTTGACTGGTATGATTTTTGAAAAATTGAATGAGGTAATTATGTTTTGATATTGCTGAGAAAAATGCAGCAACCAACAATGCTAATCAAGACTTTTTAGACTGTTATGTTTTTTTAATGAATAAATTTTGAGTTGTTATACTGCTATGATATTAGTTTAGACAACTTCACTCAATCAACTTTTTTTACATTTTTCCCCCTCCCCCTCTAAAATGGTCATGGGTTCAATTCCCACGGGTGACGCGGTCACGGGCCCCCACATTAGAGGCACACTTACCATGAGGGAGATGTCCCTGTAGTCCAGCATAATTGGTATGCTTCAGCCTCAATAACAGTTGCTGCAAGGGGTCTTAAAAAGGGGTTTTAAATAAACCCCTTTTCGTGCATCATTTCACGCTGCACAAGACACCGTATCATGCAGTCATGCTCTGGATAAAATCATCTTAGACTGTGCAAAAACGTTTTTGGTGTATCATCTTAGGGGCGCAGCATTTTGACACCACTCCTCTCCCACTACACTACCTTTCGTCCGCCTCCGCCTGCTCTCAAGTGTTTTTTTGTTCTTGCGTGTTCCCAATGTCACCTGCCGTTTACATATTCCCCGAGGGCTACCCATTGATTTGGACAGGATCTTCGTCAAATTTCAGGAGAGTACACCATGTACACACCCGGATCATTCCACTGAACGCTCACCACATGTTCCCGACATGTACGATCTGTACGTATGATACATATAGAAGCAAACAAAAAAGCAGTTAACAGTTACAGTATGAATCAACACACATAATTTGACATATCTATCTATCTATCTACCTATCTATCTATCCTATCTATCCTATCTATCCTATCTATCCTATCTATCCTATCTATCCTATCTATCCTATCTATCCTATCTATCCTATCTATCCTATCTATCCTATCTATCCTATCTATCCTATCTATCCTATCTATCCTATCTATCCTATCTATCCTATCTATCCTATCTATCCTATCCTATCTATCTATCTCTATCCTATCTATCCTATCTATCCTATCTATCCTATCTATCCTATCTATCCTTCTATCCTATCTATCCTTCTATCCTATCTATCCTATCTATCCTATCTATCCTATCTATCCTATCTATCCTATCTATCCTATCTATCCTATCTATCCTATCTATCCTATCTATCCTATCTATCCTATCTATCCTATCTATCCTATCCTATCTATCCTATCTATCCTATCTATCCTATCTATCCTATCTATCCTATCTATCCTATCTATCCTGTCTATCTGTCTATCTGTCTATCTGTCTATCTGTCTATCTGTCTATCTGTCTATCTGTCTATCTGTCTATCTGTCTATCTGTCTATCTATCTATCTATCTATCTATCTATCTATCTATCTATATGTATATACACTTACATAGGTGATTGTATGTATAATATACAGTCTTGTATGTATAAAATATTATAAATTATACATAATTATACCATATATACCATATATAAGACACATACATAGTGATATACCTGCAGTTGCTTCATATCCTGCAGGATCTGCATTTGGAGCTGCTGACCCCGGAGGCCGCAGCGATGCACCGCGCCTTGCGTTGCTTGGTGGCGCAGCTCCGCGACGGAGCGGAGGCCAACAGCACGCCCTTGGGGCTGCATGTGGCACAGCTCCAGGGATGCATGGCCAAGGCGGGATCCTTTAAAGAAAACGTATGGAAAAGGCTGGAAAAGGTCTAGACTTGATGGAGATTTGATGATCTTTGTGGATTTTTCTAGATGTTTTGAAGATTTTGAAGATTTGGATGCGGATGCATTTTTTTTGGGTGGTTCATGAAAACTTCGACGTTTGTGGCCTTTGTGATGGAGTTTCAGCAATAAACAAAAATCCATGAAAAATGGATCCATTTCACCGTTCTTCCGCGGCTTTAAGCATCACCCTGAGGTGAAGGAGGTGGATGAGGCTAGGGCCTTGCAGAAACACTACGAGGATAAGGTGGGGAACATAAATGAAAATTAAGGCAATAGGGAGTTGGCAAGTTAGTGATATGATCTAACCGAATCTAACCGTTGGAAAATGGGGGATGATCATCAAACAACCTTGGATTAAGAAGGAAATTAGAAATGGGGAGTCAATCATGAAATATCCAAGAAGGGCACGTCGAACAAGCGGTCGCGGACTAACAAGAATTAGAATCCGAAGAAAAGAGGATCGCACCAACAAATGAATCAGTCGAACAGTCAAGCCATTCGTGGCAACCAATTCCAGAACAAGCTTGCAGATACCACCAAGGGTAGTTGACAGATTGCAAGTATGAACTGGGTTGACCGGAAAACGGTTCACTATCGTGCATAATGTTGCATTGTTTGTGCTGAACATTAGTAACATTAGTATCCCAATACCCTAATTTGCTTCAGGTGGTGCAGTTGGATGCGCAGGTAAAACGGAAGAGTTCACCGGCCCTGCAGTCGAAACTGGAGCGAAATCAGGCGAGTCAAACCATTGGATGAATTGCTATACATTGAATTTTGGGTCCTAGACTTTATATGATGATTTCCGAACTCTCATGATTTTTGTACGGTTTTGTATTCTTTCTTTCAGCGATTTCAAAATTTTTAGATCAGCCAACTTGTCCAGTGCCCCAACCAGGAGAAACTGCAGCAAGCCTCAGTGGCCTCCCAAAGTGCCCAAGAAGTGGCTCATGAATCCCTGCAACAATGTGCTGCTCGGCGTCAAAATCTTCAGCGAATCGCTGGAAGTTTCATGACCAGCCTCTCAAAGGCCTTTCAAGCCGCGGTGTCCAGCTCTTCCAGATCCATGGCATCCATGGCTTCCACGGGATCCAGCGGCTACGCGGTGGCCAACGTGCCGCCGGATGGGTTGAATCCCTTCACCGAAGACGTTCTGCGCGAAGCCACCCCAGTAGCGAAGGATCCCGCGCCCCCAACGGCCTCCAACCCCTTTCCAGACAGCGACAGTGCGTCCGGGGCCGAATCTGGGCCTCCGGACCCAGGAAAGTGGAAACCCTTGGAGTCGGAGAGTGAGAACAGCACCTCTCCATGGGCACAGGATCCAAAGCCTCAACCGGAGGGCCTGGAGAGCCTGGAGGGCGACCCAAAATGAGCGGCTGCAGGTGGATGGGGGGTGGTTTAGCCCAGATGGAAAGCAGTGTTCATGGGACATGGGGATCACTTTACACACAGCATGTGGCTAGAGGTCGGCCAATCAGTGTTGGTTGATGCATTGGCCACTGTTGCCTGTCTCCAAATGAATCCCATGGATCGCTTTCGGATTCCTGTTGAAGTGGTTAGGTCCAACCCTAGGGCAAAGGTCAGGGTCCGATGGATACCCACCAGATCTCACCACAGTTTCACACATTTCACAAGGACAATTTGCAAAGATCCAAATCACTGTCGCAAACCGGGACGTACCAAAATTGATTCCGTTCCCACACTACCCGCTTGACAACCAACTCGTTCTCCCTGCCCAAACCCCATACATTCTGTTTGGGAGATGATGAATATAGCCGATGTTTTTCCTATTTTTCCCGAGAGCGTCTGAGCGCACGGTTCTTCTAATAGTGGGGGTCTGTCAAACATTTTCACATCTTCACATCTTCACTTCACATCTTCTCATCTTCACATCTGCTCATCTTCACATCTTCTCATCTTCGCATCTTCACATCTTCTCATCTTCACAGCTTCTCATCTTCACATCTTTACATCCTCACATCCTCACATCTTCACATCCTCACATCTTCACATCTTCTCATCATGACATCTTCTCATCTTCACGTCTTCACACCCTCACATCCTCACATCTTCACATCTTCTCATCTTCACATCTTCACATCTTCTCATCTTCACATCTTCACATCTTCACATCTTCTCATCTTCACAGCTTCTCATCTTCACATCTTCACATCCTCACATCCTCACATCTTCACATCCTAACATATTCACATCCTCACATCTTCACATCTTCTCATCTTCACATCTTCACACCCTCACATCTTCACATCTTCACATCTTCTCATCTTCACATCTTCACATCTTCTCATTTTCACATCTTCTCATCTTCACATCTTCTCATCTTCACAGCTTCTCATCTTCACATCTTCACATCTTCTCATCTTCACATCTTCACATCTTCTCATCTTCACAGCTTCACATCTTCACATCTTCACATCCTCACATCTTCACATCCTCACATATTCACATCCTCACATCTTCACATCTTCTCATCTTCACATCTTCACACCCTCACATCCTCACATCTTCACATCTTCTCATCTTCACATCTTCACATCTTCTCATTTTCACATCTTCTCATCTTCACATCTTCTCATCTTCCCAGCTTCTCATCTTCACATCTTCACATCCTCACATCCTCTCATCTTCACACCGTCACATCCTCACATCTTCACATCTTCTCATCTTCACATCTTCTCATCTTCACATCTTCTCATCTTCTCATCTTCTCATCTTCACACCTTCACATATTCACATCTTCACATTCTCTCTTGCCCTCTTACTCTCTTGCCCTCTTGCTTTCTCCTTCTCTTCTATTTCTCTCTTGAAGTGGGGCAGTGCCAACGAGACGGCACGAAACGCAACCTTTTCGCACGGAACGAGGTTCGATCGCCAAAAACTGAGGTAAAGTTGCGATTTCACAACTTCCGCGGCAACCCTTTGCACGAAATGAAGTTCGATCGCCAAAAACTGAGGTAACATTGCGATTTGCAAGTTGTCCGGCGAACCCTTTCGCACGAAATGAGGTTCGATCACTGTCACCAGAAACTGAGGTAAAGTTGCGATTTTGAAATGTCCGCAGCAATTCTTTTTCGCACGAAATTAGGTTCGATCGCCAGAAACTGCGGTAAAATTGTGATTTCACAACTTCCGCGGCAACCCTTTCGCACGAAATTAAGTTCGATTGCCAAAAACTGAGGTAAAATTGCGATTTGCAAGTTGTCTGGCGAACCCTTTCGCACGAAACGATGTTCGATCGCCAAAAACTGAGGTAAAATTGCGATTTTGAAATGTCCGCGGCAACTCTTTCGCACGAAATGAGGTTCGAGCGTCAAAAACTGAGGTAAAATTGCAAATTTACAGTAAAAGTTTCTGTGTGTAAAAGCGTCTGTGTGTAAAAGTTTCTGTGTGTAAAAGCGTCTGTGTGCACAAGCTTCTGTGTGTAAAAGCGTGTGTGTGTGTGTAAAAGTGTCTGTGTGTAAAAACGTCTGTGTGTAAAAGGGTCTGTGTGTAAAAGCGTCTGTGTGTAAAAACTTCTGTGTGCAAAAGCGTCTGTGTGTAAAAAAATCATAAAGATTCTGTGTGTGAAAAACTATACGAAGGATACGATGCAAACTATTGTCTTGTACTTGTAAAATATTGTCTTGATACTACTCTTCTCGTCTGCCTATAATACATCTTTATAAAGTATTGTCTTGTAATATAGCGTCTCAAAACTAACAACAGAAGACCCTGCTCCTCTACGCTCTCGGGCCATCCGTCGTCTAGTTTTTAAAACAGTTGAATCGACAAATTGCTGCGCACCACCAGCGCTGTCCAAGGACCATTCAGGAAGCCTCAGAGCGTGGTATGGTGGGGGAACCTTTGGAAAAACCTTGGAGTTGGGGGTCATATTTGGTGGCTGTTGAGCCATTCCCCATGTTCTTGGATTCAATATTATTGCCGCCTCTGATGAAACACATGCTTGTGGTTGCACAACGTGTTTTAGTTGGTTTTAGAATGGGTGAGTCATACCCGTTCAGCTTTTAGGCCTTTGCAATGCTGACAATCTGATACTCAGATGCTCGCGTTAACAATCCGGCAACGTTCTATCGTCTTCCCTCGCACGTGGACAGAGGGAAATAACGGTTCCCCCCAGCAGTCAAATTTTGATCGACATCGATGGGATATAATGTGGGTACCGGTGTCTCAAAATGTCTCAAAACAATTGAAGCCGCCAATGAAGGCGTTTTGGCAGTGGAAACAACTTGGGTTTTGCAAGGGTTCTCGACCTTGCGACAGACCGAAACCAGGTTCCAGAATTGCCAATTCACCAACTGCCTTCGCTTCCTCCACTTGCTGCAAGGGGCACCCAGCAAAACAGCGGGTGTGTGGTAGTACGTGTGGATACTGGAAAAACTTTAAAACCAACAGATAGGTGTGGTAGGTGTTGTGGTTTACATACCTGTACTTGTTAGATGAAAGGGCTCTGCAGTTGGTGGGCAGCGGGTCCGTGATTCCGGGATAGCTGCTGGATCAGTGTGGGCAAAGAATTTCAACCCCCCAAGCATTCACCTTTGAGAGTTGGGAAATTAATCTCTACAGAAGAATGTCCCGAGAAGAATAGCAGTTTATTTCTTTTATTTTTTTGTTCGGAGCCATTTGTGTAAAATCCAAGTTATTCCGATCTCATCATCAAGGAGAGATCGTCTATGATCATCATATTCTAGTACCATCGGTGCATGGTCCGTCCATATTCTACCGCCTTGGATGAAAACATCGATACTTAATCCTGCACACAAGAACTATAGAATATTAAAGAATTATACTTGATGTGTTCATAGTTTTTATAGTTTTTTTCATCAACACAGTTGACAATGTTTATCAACACAATTGATGTCAATTATCGACGTAATTGATGTATCAACTATCAACCATGCATGTTTTTAATGAATTATCATTGCCACATGTTGGTTTCCCCGGTTGGCCCAACACGTGGCAAGTTCCGACAGCTTGGCGTCAGGCGATGAAGGTCAAGGCTTCACCACGCTTGCAGTGGGGAGCTCAGCTGGCCAGGGAGGGCGGAGGATGAACAGGAAGAGTTTGATATTGTGTCTTATATCATACTATCATTAATATATGTATAATTATGTATATATATACATACTATGTAGTTATAGAGATAATATAGAGATAATATAGAATTATGCAGGATTATAGAAAAATTACATAGGCATATATAGATATATAGATATGTAACATGGTATATTGCAAGGAAGTATAGAGTTGGGTTTTCATATTTGACATATTGATGCTGCCTTGGGGTCAGATTTTGAACAGCTTCATGGGATAAGCATGATGGACCTGCACGGGAGGAGAATCTCCAAAATCAAGCCGTAGAGGGGTTGGACATGGTTGGACCACATTGTTCCATCATTTTTCCGGCGTTGCGGCGTTGTGTAAGGCGCTTGTCCATGACACCTCGATTGCAGCCTGGTGCTCAGGTCTGGCGGGGCCTTGGAGTAAACTTATGCGACTCGGTTTCTTGCTGCGGGGTGTTGGCTCAAGCTGTCAGATATGGCAGCCGCACGGCCCAAATCAAACTGAATCGACTCCAACTGGTCCTGTGATGTTTGAGTCACCCAGGTTTCCACACTTTGGAGCCTATTCTGAGGAGGTCAACGATTTTTCCACAAAAATCCAATATGCTTTCAATCCCCACGGATCTTTGGCGCATCAAAACAGTGACAGGTGGATTAAATCTGAGGCATGTATGCCTTCCACATCACATCTTCCACCCCACGTCTGACTCAAGCCGTGTCCGGAACATATGGCTGACGAGTGGGATGTGAGCTTGCGATGCTTGGTCAATATGGCCATGGCTCAAAATCCTTGACACACTCTGGGAATGGTTAAGCACTTCAAAAACCATCAAAAAAAGTGTAGGCCCTTTGGTGCCTCAATTTTGACTATGCGAAATCTGCAGCCCCCAATGGTTTGCGGCCTCCCAGGACACTATCGCCTGCTCAGCCGCTATCCTGGATATGCCTTGCAGGTGAAACTTGGCACTATCCGAGAGAACGTGGATTTCACCGCTGTGGTTTGCTTCATTTTGGAAAAGGGATTGGGAATATTTGGGAATTGGGGGGTTTCTTATGGTTTCTTCGGGCTTCCCCAAGTCACCATGGGTTTCAATATTAAATCATATGGGTTTGTCTGAAAATAGTGTACCCCTACACCCAATGGTTTTGCTGATCATTATCCCTACTAAATGGCTATAATTGGGGGTATACCCCATTTTCAGACATACCCATATTGAGTCATGGCCATGCTTGGATGATTTGGGGTACCCCCATGGCTGGAAACGAAATCCCAGGCTGCGATGTGCTGAGATTCGACGCGAAAGACACCTGCGGCCGCGTGCGGCATCCTTCAGCGAGGAGTTGATCTTGGGGATTGGCATTGGGAAAATGGGAAGATCATGGGGAAATAGTGGGTAAAATGATTAATGTAAGTCAAGCAGTAGTAACTTAGTAAACCATCCACAATTTTTCCAATATGGGTGGGAGTGTATAAACAATCAAACTATTAATGGCTGGTTTATTATTTCATTTACTATCATAACTTAACCATTTTTTGATGTTGGATGGTTTCACAGATCATAAAAACAGCCATGGGATGATGATGATCCCCACTTCGCGGTGCTTTTCATGGTGGGTAATGTGAACACGTTCAATGCCAAATCCCTTTTGTGGGCATGGGTCTTTAATACCAATGATTCAGATCTCCAATGGAAAAGACTCTTACCCTAGTAAAGAGACATGGAGTGTCCTCCAAGTTGTCGATTTTCGGTTTTCCATCGTTTGAAAGCGGATGACTGCTAAATCCATCAATTGCAGGATAAAGATCGCCCCACCAAAGCTGCCGCATTGAATGCCTGGAGGGCCTTTGCCAGCAGCTTGGTACGAGACCATGGATGTTGGAAAGGATCGTTGACGACTCTACAACTGGGCGTGTTGAACATACTCCCCACATGGGTAATTTTTTGAAAGGGGACGGTGATGATTTACTGATGGATTTAAGGGTAGGTGTCGCCCTATGACTTTTCAGGTGCCGCTGTAGTAGAACAAGAATGAACAAGACACATTTTCTCCTTGTGTCTTTGCTACAATAGTGCCAGGTCTTTCAAGACGTCAACTTCAAGATGGAACACAGGGGTCACGAGTCACATCCAGGAACTCAGGGCGGAAACGCATAAACCATGAACAGCAAGTGATACCTCCATACAGAAAACGTCGACCGGCTCAACATGCAACACCACACCCCTCCTGGATCATGTAGAATATGTACTAACAATAAACCCTTTAAGATTCATCCCCATTTGCATTTGGGCAAACTTTTTTTGGGAACAAATATGATTGTTTTATATTGTTTTGATCCAACCTTTCCAACTAGACCTCTTCGACCTTGGACGGTTCCAGTCATGCAACTGAGGCACCCTGGTCTTAGCTTCCTTGCTGAACGACTCCACCCTTGATGAGGCAGCTCAAAGATATAGTGATTTTCTGGGGCTGCATCATACCTTAGGTTTCAACCTTTCCTATTTGAAATCACCATCTTAGATAACTTAGATACACCAATCTAGAGGACTTTCAGATAGCCCAAGGCGTAGTCATTACTACATCTCTGGAGAACCAGCAGCAACCATTCAAAACCATTGGGAAAACCATGGGACCCATTGGCAGGAGACCTATTGGACGGTGCGCGCCAGTGGTCAGACCTTCCGGGAAGGCGTGGCGTGTCTTCGGCGCCTGATGGCCTTGCGGGAGTGTCCCATCTCCAGCGACTGGGTGGCTCGGTCAAGCGCGGGTGCCGGGGCTTCGGAGGCTTTCGGGGTGTGAAAACAGCTGTATTTCTGAGGAATTTCAATGGTTCATGAAGCTGGGCAACCAGGTGAATGGGGATTTTTGGGATTGTTCAAACAGGTTTGAAGATTTGAAAACGATCAAATGATCTGTGGAAAGATGAGGACAGCTGAAGATCCCGGCAGGTTTGAGCTTGGGAATCCGCATGCCTCTCATTGAGTCCACTCTGCAGTTTCTGCTAGACTACTCCGATGTGATTTGTCCCGTAAAGCGATGAGCCCCGACCGGTCATTGAATGCTGATCAGCAGAGAATTATGTACGAATTCAACGGGGTTCATTCTTGCCCAGTTAATCCATGCTAATCCCAATTATCGTTTCTGGATGTTTTTGCTGGCAGATCATTGTGATGCTGCCATGTCTGCAAGGATTTGGGACGTTTCAAGCGCATCACCTACGATGTCCTGTGCCAAAACACCTCCGCACGGGCTGAGCGGCGGCGAGAGAACCGTGGAGGCTTGATGCCCGGGGGTCCATGGGAGTCCATGGGAGTCCATGGGAGTCCATGGGTATACGTTATAATGTAATAATATATAATATATATAATGATATAATAATATATATATATAGTATTTAGTATTTAGTATTATATAATTATTATATGATTGATTATTATCAATTATTATATAATTAATTATCATCATTTACCATCAATGCATCAATTATCAGCATTTTATGATCATCAATTTTCATGTTCCTTGCAACACTGTTTTGGGGTCTCTTGCCGGGACGTTTCTGCCTTCCGCTTTGTGCCGGCAGCCAGGTCATCGCCTGATCAAATAGGGCCTATTTCCATAAATGGGGCTACCCAAAATGGATGGTTTATTAATGGAAAATCCTATTAAAATCGATGATTCGGGGGCCCCCATTTCAGGAAACCTCCAAATATTCATTCTTATACAATCCTTACCCCGATTTTTGGTGGTGGGAATCCATATTTCCACTTTACCTATATAATCATTGTGAAATCCTGGACGTCAGAAAGTCTGTGGAAACATGGACTTTTTAATGACATTTCTACAGTTTCTGGATGATTTCGTGTGAACATCCCCTGGAAACAGCGGCAGGTGCGCTGCTGCTGCACGCGGGAACACCATCACAGGCGTCGCGCCGGGCGCCGATGGCTGGCATGGCCTTTGCGGATTGCATTGGGCCCGACCCAGGCGTGTGATTCCGCTCCAAGGGGTTCCGGTCATGGTTTGAAGCCTTGGAATTTCTTCAAATGGGGATACCCCAAGTCATCCAAACCTAGACCATTTTGGTATTGAAACCCATGGATCCCATGGTTTTGGGGATCCATTGAAAAAATCTGGAGATGGGACCCCAAAATGAACTGGTTCGATCATCTGATACGTACAGCTGGCGCAAGGGATGCACTTTCCTGATCAACTAACTGGCCGTGGCTCAAAGTTGTTCTCTAAGCTGGTCGTAGATGACACTGGTACCAATCAGTAGAGCATTCAATTATATAGACATTTGATATAGTTGAATATCATTGAATGGCTTAATTTTGTTGATTCTTGCAGACATATGTCATCATCCACCTTAACAACTTCGAACAACACATGGCCGCGGTCCTGCTCAGGACACTTCCACCGACGCCCGCTATATCCAAATCAGAAGTGCCTAGTGGTTCTGGCCCGCTGTGGTGCTTTGTCGTGCCAAGATATCCCGGGAGGCTGGGACAGACATGAGATTGGCGCTGACGTGACCAAAAGGTGATTTTAATTCTATTAGAATCTATTTACCCTCTGGCTATTTAACATAGCTATGGAAAATGGTCCATTTATAGAGGATTTATGATGATTTACCTATCCAAAATGGTGATTTTCCATAGCTACGTTAAATAACCAAACGGTAATATATCAAAAACAACCATTGGGAAGGAACTTGAGGGATATAGACAACGAGGATTGGGAATGTGGCCAACAAATCCTTCGCTATTTCCTTAGGCAATGTCCGAAATCGTTCTTGGGGTCGGCTTACAACTTACACCTTTTGCAGTGCGTCATGGCATCCCACGCATGGTCCATCAGGATGTCATTGAAAACATGGTCCTACTCCATTTTGAAGATCCCATTTTCACTCGGTGCTCAAGATTCAGCAGGTATTCCACAGTTTTGAATTTCAATTCTAGCCTTTGATCTTGTGTCCTGAATTGGATTGAAGATTAGCCCTATAATGTCCTCTGGTTTTTCAACCATCCCTAGATGTCCGTTCCCCCTGCGGTAGGTGAAGAAGCCGTTCTGGCACACCTGCGGAGGTTGTTCCGTCGCACACGCCGCTACCACGACATCCAAGGCGGCTTCGTTGGTCGCGGTGGGACTGGGACCAGTGGGACCACGCCGCAGGTGTCGAGCTGGCTCTGTTGGATCACTTCCAACTGGATTTGTCACAGATGGAGTCGGAGGCCAAAGAGCTGGCCCAGGTGGGCTAGCTAAGCGCAGAAATGATGGCCGAATTCGGCAGAGCTGGGCTTGTTGGAACAAGATGCGTGAAATTTCTGGTGACAAGATGCATCAACCTCTTTGAGGATTTTGAGATATTTTGAGGTTGATTCAGATTCTTTTTTTTTGTTAAGTAGATGGGGTACGCCACAGTCAGTGCAGTCTGTTGCTGATGTTTTCTGGGTACTGGTGGTACTGGTATGAGGTCTTGCTTTCTGAGATTGGCAATGTAGACAATGTAGACTATCAGGCTGGGCTCTGTGGCGTCTTGGAAAGTCAATGTTTAGGGCGTGGATCTTGGAGATTCATTTTTGTTCATTCTGGCTATCTGATGTTTGGTATGTTCCAAGTTTCCCGGTGGCCGTAATGTTTTTTCCCTGCCAGATAGACCATGACATCATGGAATACTTAGGGGTACGATGTACTGGTCAATGCTGAGATTCCTGCAAAGCATTGCAAAGCCACTCTAGATGGAGATTTGTTAGAGTCAATGTCACGATTGCTTCAGAAGCTTAAGTATGGAGCGCTAGTCAACTTAAAAGATCTAAAAGAAGTCATGGCTCTCACAAGTACCTAGCAACCATGTACTGTACGAGGTGAAGAGAACCAGCAGAACCAGCATCAAAGCTGTGCTGTGCCAGGAGTTTGGTGCTCAACTTCAACTCTTAGTTGCTCTCCTCCGTCGCAAAGCCTGTGACTGGTGGCAGCTGTCGCTGGAGCAACTCTCAGCCATGCATGGGGTGTTGAAGCTCTCCCGGCGACCTCAGTTGCATGTGGAATTTGATGCCTGGGCGCATCCCTGGAAGTCCCTAAGCTGAGGGGGTCCGATGAACGGAGGCTCTTTGAATCTCTAAACGATACTTCCCAAGGACCATCAAGGACCTAAACAGCGCTAAACAGTTCGAAATTCAACTAGTTCACAGCCGGTCATTTTTGCGTGCCCAGTTCAGCATCGGATTTCACCTTCTCCAGCCTTGGTGAAGTGACCCTAGACAGAAATTGACATGATCAGCTCGAGGTTAAGCAGAGAGGAGGTGATGAACTGCATCCAGAAATGCACCATCAAAGGCTGGGTGGAGGTCTAGATAATATGCTTTTGGGTCCAAGATGCGGAACACTTGCAGAGTTCTGCGTGCTGGACCCTTACCCACATGGATTGAAGCGATCTGTTGTTGTGTAGCAATGACTGCATAGTCGATGAAAGCATCAGGCTCTTGGCTTAGTTCTTCAATCCTCTCAACATAAAAAGATATAAAAAGTATTTTGAAAGCATGATGATTTCCATTGATTTCCCCCGAAATTCGATCGGGATGACGGGTGCAGGCACCAGCTATGCCCAGATTCTGTGCAGTTTGGAGCACTGGCAACTCACCAGCTGCCAGTTGGGTCCTTTGGTGGCCCTGCACTGCGCCGTGGCATGGCTCAAGACGCGGCAAGGCTTCGGCAAAGCGGTGGCCCTCTTCGATCACTTGGAACTTTGGCGATGGGAGGTGCCTTGGAAGGTCTTGGAATCCTTGGAGATGGGGATTCCGAAACTGAAGTGGAAATGAGACCCTTTTCGATATCTATATTATCATAATATATATATAATAATATATATATATAATATAATATAATATATATATATTATCTATCCGACATGATCCGACCTTTAATGTAGAAAATTCCATCTAAAGAGAGCTTGGAATTGAAACTGTATGTTTGTCGCTTGGCTGCAGCATACTGCATGTCTATTTGGTTGACAGTTGACACCGCTGGTTTGGGCATTTTGATTTCATGTCACATCACACTTCTTGGAGAAATTCCTATGATTGCTACACACATTTCCATCGGTACTGATTTCGAAGAGCCATTTTGATGCACCAAAAACGGGTGGCCGGTGCCACTTTCGACCCACTTTCCCATCATCACAGTATCTCCCATGGTCATCTCGGTAGGACAACCATCCTCAGGGATGGATATCAATTGACATCAGCAACCATGAATTACTAATCCCAAACCGGAGATCGTCTCCCAAGATGAATCCGTCACATGACCCTGACTATATCCTGCAGAGTAAGATCTCATTAGCGAAATTTGGGCTTCGTCAACATGATTGCAGGGAAATAGGCATTAAAGCATTAAGGAATGGTTTGGATCGGTTTGGCCAACAGACATTGCGATCTGACCAACCAAAAAAGAGGGCCAACTCAGAAACATGATTGAGATTGTGGCATATTTGAACCTACAATTGATCTAATCACCAAACAACCACCAGAAACAGAAATTTGACATGATGATTGGTGAAATCATGTAATTGGTGATTCATGGTAATGGTTAATTTCACCAATGGCAATTTTATTAATCTCAGCCATTATTTGGAGGTTCCCTAAAATCGAGGTACCTCCAAATCATCCAAGTCATTAAGCCATGACTTAGTATTGAAACAATGTATGGTGACGACTGGGGATCCCCCATGACTTAAGAAATCTCCAATTGGGAATGCCCATCTCAACATATCCCATCTCAACCGTGATTTACCCTGGTTTCAACTTTTTTCCCATAGAATTTTGCTAATTTCACATACCTACGGCCTTTTGGGGATGATTCCCCCCTGACTGAGCAAACTTTAACCCATGATTTTATTGAAATATGGTGACGACTGGGGATTCCCCTCAGTTTTTTTTTTTACAATCTTTTAACATTTTCAACTTTCAACCACCAGGAGCACCTGTTGACCTTCGAATGGGAAGCCCTGCAGTCCCTCCAGCGCCTGGTGCGCTGCGACCGCCGAGCCCTGGACCTGGCCTTGGCGTCGCTGGCGGCCAGCGCCAGGTTGGCCATGGCGCCACGCGCCTGGGCGTGGGCTGCCAAGGCCTTGACCAACGGCACCAAGGCCTTTCCGGCGGCCACGGGGTCCGATAGGGACAGATTTTGATGCTATACCAGTTATTTTCATGATTTATGGATATTTATGGGTAAACATTGGGGATGGTTTACAAATACACCATGCAAGGATGGTGGATTAATTTTCTGCGCTCTGCGGTCTTCAAACAGCATATCATCGATGACTGGCAAGCTTGAATCTACCCCAAAAAGGGACGATTTAACAATGAAAAAAGGGGATGCAACCATTCCCCAACTAGAGATGTGACAAACATAACACTAGGGACTAGCTCGGGACAAAACTCAAGCAAGACATGGGGTTTCCGCGATGAATTCTGCAGGTTCCGTCCCAACATGCGTGGTGTGATTGCAGCGCTGGAACATGTGGGGAAAGAGTGGTTCAACAAGGGAAAATATGAGTTGGGTATGGATCTAAATGGGGCACCCCGGAAAATGTCTGGACCATGGTTTGTTCATTTGCCATGTGCCGTTCATGTCCCCACATTTGAAACAAACTGCTTTGCTGATAGACCGCATTCCCTTTCAACAACGGATCTCCATTGGTCGTTTCGAGTTCACCGTTGATTTGTCGGTGTAACTTATTACCCTCTGGTAAACTAACATAGCTATTGAAAATGGCCCAGTCGAAATAGTTGATTTACCCATTCAAAAATGGTGGATCTTTCCATAGTTATGTTTCTCAGTTTACCAGAGGGTATCGACTAACAGTTAAAGTGAACTTTGGTCGGGTTATTACCCTCTGGTTATTTAACATAGCCATGGAACATGGCCCATAGAAATAGATGGTTTACTTATTAAAAATGGTGGATCTTTCCATGGCAAACTGTTAGTCATAACCAAATGGTAAATATCTATTTGAACTATCCCCAAATGTGAAATAACTAGATGTTAAATAACCATGGCTATATATATATATTATATACTATCCCCAAATGGTAGCTAATCAACCTCCATGTTGCACTAGCTCAATGTTGATGCCGCTGCCAGGGACCCATGCATTGGCCTGCCTGGGTGAAGTTGATGGAAACTCCGCCGGAGAAGGGATATTTGCTGAGCCTCTCCGTAGCTTTGCTAACATCAACTATGGGTTAACCTAAAGGTCTGTACCCCATGGTGTTAACCCTGAAGTCAACATAAAAAATGTCGGCCTAAGTGATCCAAAAAGTCGGCCTAAGTGAGCCTTGGACCTCAACTATGGAAAGATCCACCATTTTTTAATGGGTAAATCAACTATGAAAAAATCATCCATAGTTATGTAAATTAACAATGGTACAATTTGCATGATGTTGATGGTGGTGTCGCTGATGTTGATGATGGTCCACATTTAGTGGCTTCCACCGAAGAAAAAAAGGACATTGTGAAAGAAAGGAAGTGGACAATTGAATCCATCATGAAACGATGTAACTTGCATTGCATCTTTGTTCGATTTTTTATACTCGAAGTTGCCTTTGATGTTTTCCATTCATCAGATTGAACACGGACGCCTTGTGCCGACAGGTACCTTGGAAAGTCGTAAAGTCAAAGGATGAGCTGGAGACTTCCATGAAGGTGCACTGCTTTGGCCCCCCAAAAGGAATGATTTCAAGCTGGTACGCTTGATCAAGGGGCTTCCTGTTTCTTTGGGGCCCAACTTTAGAAGGAGAGAATTCCGCATCTACACATCTTTATAGTACACACATCTATGCCTATATCAGCCTATATCAGCCTATATCAATATCTCTATCTCTGTCTCTGAAATCGATCGGTGCAGCTAACGTAGCTGAGGTACTGAGCTCTGCTTCCACCATCGCCATGGATGCCGAGTGGGTCCCCGAGACGAAGGGTGTGGCCATTTTGCCGCTGGCCACCTGGGAGGAAGTTCACATCTGGGACCTGCAGGCCTGGGATGTAACTCTCTAGGCTTAGAGATTTCCTTGGTGCTTAGTCCAAAACATGAACATCAATATACATCAATAACACAATATCATCAACCTTTATTTTCACAGCATGTCATGGCATGTCGTGGCATGTCCCAAGTTTCACAGCTGGCCGTGCTCCAGGAGCTTGGACCCCTGGTGTTGCCCCACTTGCGTGAGCTGCTGGCAGCTGAGTCGGTTCGGAAGCTGGGCTTCTGCTTCTCCAGCTCTGTACCTTGGTGGAAGCAACAAGATGGAAGCAACATGAAGCAACACATTATTACTAGTCTGACAAGTTATTATTAATGACAAGTATGATGATGATGATGATGATGACGATGACGATGACACAGATCACTATCATTATAATAATATATTATAACTTGACATTCCCATGGTCATTATTATCATTATCACCACTCATCAGTATTCTCATTATTATCATGTTTATCCTCATCCTCATCAACATTGCACCATTACTTTCTAATACATTTTTTTAAACAAATCAGAAACATGATCCTTGGGAAGGAACCCTTCGCGTGTAAGACTTCCCTTTTACGACTTGTCTTCTGTTTTAGTTTCGGGCCACCACACTGTCCTGTAGAGATTTTCACCGACACTAATGGATAGTAATAGTACTGGTATTATCCACTAGTAATACTAGTAAAAATTCTCCTACTACTAATAATCATACTGATAATATATAATAATATATGATATTTAATGATATTTAATAATGATAATTATCATGATGATGATGATGATGATCATGATGATGATTGTGACTCATGACTATTATTATGATTATTAGCAATTAAATATCACTTTGTTTGTTTGTTTGTTTGTTTTGTTTGTTTTGTTTTGTTTGTTTGTTTGTTTTGTTTGTTTGTTTGTTTGCTTGTTTGTTTGTTTGTTTGTTTGTTTTTTGTGTGTTTGTGTGTTTGTTTGTGTGTGTGTGTGTTTGTGTGTTTGTTTGGTTTGTTTTCTTTTGTTTTGTTTGTTTGTTTTTTTGTTTCGTTTGTTTGTTTTGTTTATTTAGTTATTTAATTATTCATTTATTGTTATTATTATGACTATTATTGTGATTATTATATATTATTATGACTATTATTGTGATTATTATATATTATATATTATTATTATTATTATTAATTATTATTATTATGGTACCAACCATACTGAGTTTGATATCTCAGGGCCTGTTTTTTCCCCCGAGGACTGGCCGCGGCTGTCGTCCTTGGGTCCTCTGGAGCTCCGCCGCCTCGTGGATCTGCGGCTGAGCCAACCCGAGGGCGGCTTGAGGGCCTTGGTGCGGAAGACCTTGGGACGGAGGTGCCTCTGAGGGCCCTCAACTGGATGCGAAAAACTGGGAAAAACTGGGAAAAACCGATGGATCTAGAACCGATGGGTCAATTTTGTTCAGATTTTTGGGGGATTTAAGATGATTTAAATCGAATTTTATGAAACATCCCAATAATTGGGGTACTTAAATTTGACCCATGGCCATAGATGTCATCAAATAACATGGGAAACTATGGGGAACTATGGGAAATAGTTTAAATGGTTTGACGGGACACGATGGGACAAACTATACATGGTCATAGGATTTTCCCCATATTTTCTGGATATTTTGGTGAGAAATGGCAATTGAACGTCGGAGAAACTCAGGGAAATGAGGCATTGAAATTTTGAAGCGTAGGATTTTTTTTGAGGTGCCCCGTGGTGCCAAGAGACGCGGAATGGGATGAAATATGATGGAATTATTCATGTTTATCTTTTGAAATGATGGGTATTTCTGCACCAACCTGGTGATCTACTGGATATCCAGGTTTTGGGGTACGATCCCACACTCAAATCATGGGATGGGATGTGTGGATGATAGGTGGGTCCAGGGGTGGGTGACACCAAGGCTGGATAAGGCAGAGCAGCGCTCCGATTGGTCCAGACGGCCTTTGCTGGAGAAACTGGGCGTCAAAGCGGGAGAAACTGGGGTGGTATTTTTCCACATGGGTCGATCACTTCTTCGTTCTCGAGGTGAATGTTTGAACCCTAGGCATGTTTGTGGGTTTCGTATGGAAGATAGAAGTGATAGAAGTATCGTTTCCTCTGGTTTTGTTACGTGGTCGCTGAGATTGCAGGCTATCTTTGGGAGACAGTCAGTTGCCCCTGTCCATCTTAAGGAGCCAATTGCAATATGCTGCCCTGGACGCGCACTGCTTGTTGCAAATTCTGAAGCCTGGCGCATTTCTTCAGCCATTGTGGAGCTGATGAAGAGATCAACCCATGACGAACCACCGCAATTCGATCATTGAACAATAAATACCATAGTACCACATAGTAGCTGACTATTTGACGACGACTAGTTTACAGCTAATCAGGTTTACAGAAGTTTACCGCACACAATATAACCTGCTATCACTATACTGCTGCAACAGCAACAATCATCAGCGCGATTCTTCTCATCAAACGCCCGCTGAGGAGAGCCTTGAAGCTCACTGAGCAGCAGCTGCAAATGATGGAGGTACAGCTTTCAAATCTCCAAGAAATCCACTTGGAAGCGCTTCCCGATGGCCTTCAGTTGCCTCATATCGAGCTGCGGGTGGGACAGGTCCAACAGGCCGTTGGGCTTTGAATCGGGTTGGAATGATATGCAGCCATTTTTTAACCAATGAAGAGGCTCTGGTATACAGACTTAATCTTATACAGATCCTATCGAACAGCAACTGCTTCAGTTGCTTCAACTGAGACACTCCCCCAAAATGCTTTGGCCATTCTATCTAGAACCGCTGACAAATCTTGAAAGTCCTCAAGTTTCAGCAACTCAGGAATCGGTCGAATCAGTTGGCTCAGAGATCCCAAATCCACCCAGATCCCAGCATCTTTTGTTTTGAGTGTTCCACGGTCGCCCTTCGCCAGGTGCAAAGAATTTCCACCTCGCGGCATCTCACCTGCTGCCACATCAACTTGGGGTCGACGGCCAAGCAGCTGATTCAAGGCAGAACTGGTCGTGGGGGCAGCATTTGGGTACCTCAACATGGGAAGAAAACGCGCAAGTCTTGATCGTTTGTTGCATGAGGTTTTGAAATTTGGGAGATATTTGGACATTTCGACGAATTTGGCCCCATGATTTTGCATACCCTCAACACTAGTAATGGACATACTAGTAATGGACATACGCAAGGATGGCATTACGACCCAGTTCTGCCCTCGCTGCAGGTGGTGAGTTCCTGGTGGAAAATCAGCGGGTCCTGGTGATCTGCAACGTCTTCCCCCGGGAGATCCACGGCCACCGCTCCGAGGCTGGGCTGCTGGTGGCCAGGAATGGCAAGGGCAAGGCGGCGGCGCGGCCACCCGAAGCCGCGCCACTGGGGGAAGCTGTGGATGGAGAGAGGAGACCCGGGGAGGATTTTTAGATCTTTTTAGGGTTTGGAACTGTTTTCAAAAAAGTTGGAAGATGCAGCTGCAACCGTGTGTTTTGGGCTTTGCGAACTGTACCTTTTTCTGGAATTGAGCTTTGTCTCTCGATTTTTCTCGACTTGGGGATTCGTGAAATCACGAGACCGCCGATGCTAGTTGGACAACCAGAGAGTTAGAGATTCGCCTCTTGCTGTTGTGTGCATTTGGTATCCTGCCAACATGCATCAGGACGTATCCTACAATCGATACATCAGCATTGGACAACCCATGGATCAGGGTGGCAAAGCGTTTGTCCACAGGGAAAGGTGTGGTGCTATTGGACGGCAAGCCATTAATCTGTGCGGCTTGGCATGAGCGGCAAGTCCCATTGCATATGAATGTGGGGACACTTGAGACAAGTCTCATCAGGAATGATTGTAATATGATTGCAATGTGATTCTACTACCATGTACCATTCCAACTATATCAATTAAATATATATATATATACACCTATTATATTTCCGCACTTCACTGCTGGCTTGGTTTGATCCAGTTTCGCATATTGGTGACACTTCAGTTCGGTTTTATCAGCCTCTGGCAGCAGCTCAGGCTGGTGAGGCTTGCTACATCAATTGCGCTGACGGTGGGTTCTTCGATTAACGGTGACCGGGGCAACTGGTGGCGGGCAAAGTTCCCAGCAGCCAGTTGCCATGTACAGACAACAGATGGCCAAAACCCAAATGTGTTCGTGCTTATGGTGGTTACATGGCAGATCATGGCAGTTGAGTGTCCTTTTTTCGATACGATTCACAGGATATTAACGGGACGGATGAGGATATACTTCAAGGTGCTATGTAACTGGTTTCGGGCAGTTGACGCTTGAGAATGTCTGCAGTTGGTGGTCTGCACAGTCTCATGTCTACTCGGAGGTTGGATACATTTGGATACCCACCGGGCTTGGCAAATGGCCCATTTCCAGGATTCCCAGGGTGGTTGGCAGTGATTCCCTAAAGATGTTACTCCGGCCCGGGCCATTCACGCTGCGCCTCTGCGGATGCTTGGAACAGTGTACAGCCTGCACCATGGCGCAGAAAACACAGCGGAGCAGCTGGGGTTACAAAACCAGTTGAACCAGTTTGAGCACAACAAACATGGGGATTTTTGAAGGGACGAAACGGCTTGATTAAACCTCATTTGACCAACAAGATTGGGAATTTCAGTATCAAGCTGATTGAAAGTACTGCACTGGCGATGGTTCTTGAATTATCATAGCTCATCAATACAATGATTGAGGCGATCTACATCTCAAAACTTTCCTGCTGACGCCCATTGGGGATGGTGGATGTTCATTTTTCCAAGGGTTTTGGAGCTTGTCCGATGGCCGACCGTATTGAAGACTGGGTGATTTCAGGTGGCTCACATGGCTTCGAAATTGTGTTTTCTTTCTCGTTGCCCATATAACATGAGCTTAGATCATCTTATGATCATCTTATGATAATCTTCATCTTATGATGATCTTATGATGATCTTATGATGATCTTATGATAATCTTACGATCATCCTATGATCATCTTCATATTATGATCATCTTCATCTTATGATGATCTTATGATGATCTTATGATGATCTTATGATGATCTTATGATAATCTTATGATCATCTTATGATGATCTTATGATGCTCTTATGATCATCTTCATCTTATGATGATCTGATGATGATCTTATGATAATCTTATGATCATCTTCATCTTATGATCATCTTATGATCATCTTCATCTTTTGATGATCTTATGATGATCTTTTGATGATCTTATGATGATCTTATGATCATCTTATGATCATCTTATGATCATCTTATGATCATCTTCATTCTTATGATGATCTTATCATCATCTTTCATCATCTTATGACCATCTTCATTTTATGATGATCTTATGATGATATTATGATGATCTTATGATCATCTTATGATCATCTTATGATCATCTTATGATCATCTTATGATCATCTTCATCTTATGATGATCTTATGATGATCTTATGATGATCTTATGATCATCTTATGATCATCTTATGATGATCTTATGATGATCTTATGATCATCATCTTCATCTTATGATGATCTTATAATGATCTTTTGATGATCTTATGATCATCTTATGAGCATCCTCATTTTATGATGATCTTATGATGATCTCATGATGATCTTATGATGATCTTATGATGATCTTTTGATGATCTTATGATCATCTTCATCTTATGATGATCTTATGATGATCTTATGATGATCTTATGATGATCTTATGATAATCTTATGATCATCTTATGATCATCTTCATATTATGATCATCTTATGATCATCTTAATCTTATGATGATCTTATGATGATCCTATGATCATCTTATGATCATCTTTTGATGATCTTATGATCATCTTATGATCATCTTATGATGATCTTATGATAATATTATGATCATCTTATGATCATTTTATGATCATCTTTTGATCATCTTATGATCATCTTATGATCATCTTATGATCATCTTCATATCATCTTCCTATTATCTTATGATCATCTCATGATCATGTTATGATCATCTTATGATCATCCTAGGATCATCTTATGATCATCTTATGATCATCTTTATATCATATTTATATCATCTCCATATCATCTTCATATCATCTTCATATCATCTTATGATCATCTTCATATCATCTTCATATCATCTTCATATCATGTTATGATCATTTTGACATCATCTTGATATCATCTTCATATCATCTTATGATCATCTTGATATCATCTTGATATCATCTTAATATCATCTTATGATCATCTTGATATCATCTTGATATCATCTCAATATCATCTTATGAATATCTTATGATCATCTTATGATCATCTTATGATCATCTTATGATCATCTTCATATCATCTTATGATCATCTTATGATCATCTTATGATCATCTTATGATAATCTTATGATCATCTTCTGATCATCTTATGATCATCTTATGATCATCTTCTGATCATCTTATGATCATCTTATGATCATCTTATGATCATCTTCAGATCATCTTATGATCATCTTGATATCATCTTGATATCATCTTAATATCATCTTATGATCATCTTATGATCATCTTATGATCATCTTCATATCATCTTCATCATCTTACGATCATCTTATGATCATCTTATGATCATCTTATGATCATCTTATGATCATCTCATGATCATCTTATGATCATCTTCATATCATCTTATGATCATCTTATGATCATCTTATGATCATCTTATGATCATCTTATGATCATCTTCATCTTCTGATCATCTTATGATCATCTTATGATCATCTTCTGATCATCTTATGATCATCTTATGATCATCTTATGATCATCTTCAGATCATCTTCAGATCATCTTATGATCATCTTATGATCATCTTCATATCATCTTCATATCATCTTCATATTATCTTATGATCATCTTCATCTTGTGATCATCCTATGATCATCTCAGATCCTAAGTTCTGCAGCTTCCTAAGCGCAGTGTCAACGTTTTCTGCCTCGCTGGCGCTGAGGGAGCTGTCGGCCCAATGCGTGGAAGCGGCGGCCGATCGGGTGGTGGCCGGGGGGCTTTTGTGGGGACTTGGGGGACCCGGTCTGGAAGGGGAACCGTGAACTGATGACCAATGGTGACCAATGGTGACCAATGGTGACCAATGGTGACCAATGGTGACCAATGGTGACCAATGGTGACCAATGGTGAGCTGGTTGAACTCTGAGGTATGTTACAATTGCAAGTGAGAAGATTGCTGTGAAGTTTCTGAACGAACTCGAAAAAACGCTTCTCACCGCTTTTCAGAGATAGACGATGGAGTTCAAAACGCGCGCTTGGATATACAACATCCAGTAATCCAGTGCAATCTGAGGATTTAGCGCCAGCAACTTCACAACATGTCACAACTGTCCATGGCTGTCCCACAGCACCACCATTGACGACTCTTTTCCATGTCTAGGCCTTTGCCACTGGTGAGGAATCATCATCCCTGGCGTCCTTGTCTCAGGGTGCGTGATGATGCTGGTGGTGAATTGGACCTATGCTCGATGATCAATGAAGTGCAGACCACACAAATGAAGAGGGGGTGCAATCTAAGTGATCACACATTTTAACCATTTTAAATCGGACTAGATTTTATTCTGGATAAAAGTAAGAACTATGGCAATTTGTTGTGGGAATACGGTGATTTGAACGTGCTCGAAGCATCTCGAAGCGTGATCGTCCAATGACTCAGCTTCCAAGGTTTGACGCCAGCAGGGATCCTTGGTGGTTCCTAAAGCACCTGAAATGATGTACTAATTACCCTCTGGTGAACTAACATAGCAATGGAAAATCCCCCTTTTTCATGGGAAAATCCACTATAAATGGCCATTTTCCATTGCTATGTTAGTTCACCAGAGGGTATCATAAATCATAGTAAGAAAATGCAATGTTAAGATACATGAGTGGCACTTCCAGCGCCAACTTGATCTGAGGAAAATTGATAGCGAACCCAAAAAAAACAACCCATCAGATAGAGATCGGATGGAGATCTACCTACTTGTATCCTACCGCAACAATCACCCATCCCAGGGCAACGGTCCAGCATCCATGGCGCACGACAGAGCATTGAGGTTTATCGGAGCTCCGTACTGAGGCCGAAAAGGGGCCTGGGTTTCCAGGGTTTCCAGGGTTTCCAGGCTTTCCAGTGAAAACCAAGCCATTCTGAGATGTTTTCTTGGGGTATGGCTAACTTATGGTAACTTGATATGTTTGTGACCACCTCCAATGCTGTGCCAGGTGGCTGCTGCAGGGCCCCCATTTTTGGGTGGAGCAAGATGGTCATGTTTTGGAACACGGCGCAACGGATGGGCCGGTTGACAACGAGTCGCTTTTTTCTTCCATGCGTTTGGGGAACACGGCTTTCTATTGGAAACCAAGGTCTACACAGATTACTTACTGCCTCTGATCACGCAAACATCGTATCATGCCTGTTCTGGTTGACTTTCGTCCATCTTCCCATTGGGCCTCAAGCTGATGAGCTGCCATCTGCCTAAGAAGTTTTGTGGGGAAACGCCAGATTTAGAGACCACGTAATTTGTGATTTACAGCACTATAGATTCCACTACTGCAGAGTCTATTCGGTTTCGTTTGCTATAGATCCTGTTAGGCTATATATAGGGCTAGCATCGTGTAGAGTTATTCCGAGAAACAAGCGTGTCTACTAATGGCCCCAGCTTTATACGCTCTTAATCCACACTCTCTCAGAAAAACAAATATATTATCTACATCATGGTAATCAGTTTAGTTCAATGTTTTATATATTAAATATATATATATATGACAATATATATATATATATGACAATATATATATATATGACAATATATATATACATATCATATATATATATGCATATAGATATTTACATATCTGAATGTATGCTATCTGCATATTTTAATCGGCTCCAGCCTTGGTCCGAGGTTTGGGACGCCATCGCCGAGCTGGCAGAGATCGTGGGGGATGCAGCTCCCCATGGCGTTTCTTGGACCCGCCCGTGGATTTGGAACATGTTATGCAGCTGGAAACAACAATTGGGTTTAGGTACCAACAGTTGGAAACATGTTATGATTTGGAAACATGTTATCCAACAGTTGGGTGTTTCAGCAATTGGAGTACCATTGGAGTACCATTGGAGTACCAAGATGTGCCAAGATGTGCCAAGATGTGCCAAGATGTGCCAAGATGTGCCAAGATGTCCCAAGGGGTAAGGAATCCAACCAGCCAAGGCTGTGCGATACTCTCAATCCAGCAGCCTAGGCTGGTGACTGGACCCCATACCCTGTCCACTATGACGTAGGAGATCGATTGATAGAAAGGGGATGAAAGGGGATTGGAAACCCATCATAATCCCCTTATATCTATTATGATTGATAGTAGGGGATACTTTACAATACTTTACAATCTATTATGACACGTAAGCTTCACTTCCTGCAGAGACCATGTTGCAGGGTCCACCCAATATCCGGTGTTGACCACTTTCCACAACGACAAAGAACAGCAGATTTGATCTGCTGTCTCCTTACAGCATATACAACATAGAAGTATTGAAGAAGACAAGTTTGATATGAAGAATATGTGGATGACAGATTTTGCAGCATATTTACACATTCTTATTGTGCTACATGCCATCCAGGCAGCAAGTGCCAGTGACATTGAAATGCCTTGACCCGAGAATAGATTAATAGATTCTGAAATCCGTGTCAGAGTAAGATTTGATACAGACTTGCAACTTACTTACTTCCTTGATCATCTTGATCCAAAAGCCAAAACATTCTAAGAAGGAACAAGTCTCAAAATTGCGACGGCTGCAGGAAAAAACACATGTTTAAACTTTAAACATACCCTCCGGTAAAAGAAACAAAACAGAACATGGCCATTTGTTATAGTTGATTTATGTTGATTGACCTATGCAAAAATTGTGATTTTCTATAGCTTTTTGTATGTTTACAGGGTGGATATGGTCACCATGAATGGTCAGCCCGGCAGGCCCGGCAGGTGACCTGCTCCAGGCCGCCAGCCTTGCCAAGGAGAAGGCACGACCTCACTGCGACCTCACTATAATCATAATTAGTAAGGGGAATCATCCCCTTTTATGGCCCAACTATTCAGGTTAGTGAAATATGATAATTTACCCAGATAGATTATTCATAGATTTTTCATAGATCATTCATAGATCCTAATATAGGCCACAAAAAGGCCTCATCTTAGGTTGAAGCAGTGGCAGATGGGATGATCGATGAGGATCCAGTTGCCTGGTTTCCCCTACCGGATCCCATTGGGTTCTTTGTAGAGCCACTAAAAATATGGATGGAACACCTATAGAATCTCCGCCATCAGCTGACTTGGGATTTTCCCCAGCCATGGATTTCTGAATGTAGACACCGCAGTATGGCAAAGCCTGCGTAGCCTGACCTGCCTGACCTGTAACTGACACTTTCTGGGTTCAGGCTGAGACCTGCCAAGGTGCGGACTCCTGGGAACTCAAAAAAAGTCACTTGGGGCCAGCAGCCATGATGGAGGGACCTCTACAATTTGAGTAACGTATGCCCTTGAGAGTTGCCTTCCCGTTTTTTCAGGTAAGGCCAGTTCTGATGCCTGTCTTAAGCCCCACATCAGAGTGATTTCATTGAGTTTCATTGAGACATCTTTGGAATGAGTTCATTGAATTCATGGCTTAACTAAGAGGAAGATAGAGGAAGATTGAAAGGCTTTCAGGAGAGGCGGGTCTGCCCATAGTTGCACGGTGGAATTCCCAAAGATACTGATGAATGAGGCGACCTGCGACGCGTGGAAGCGGCAGTCCAAGAGTCGAGAGACCCAGAAATTGTGCCGTAGGGACGTTGACGTTGAAACTCCGTAGTTAAACCCAGCTGATGGTTGATGCCTGGGGGCTGGGGTGGCATTTTGAGGTTGGGGGTCATCCAACTTTGACCCAGATTCATCATATATATTTTGATGTTACTATCCGGTGGAGTGCCGACTTGACACAAGGTAGCAGTGGATGTAGCTGCAACAGGGTCAGTATGATCTTGAGCCTAAATCAACACCTATGAATCAACACCAACAGGCATTATTTCTACCAACGGCAACGGCGAAGATGTGACATGTGGCTGGAAAGTCTGTACCCTGCCAGGCTCAATTCCAGGATGAATGGCTTGGGACTGAGATTTCAATAGCAGGTGGCTGTTGAAAATCGGAACCAGCTGGCTGGTAGTAGATGGGTTTTGAGCGAACAATGGCAGACCGCCGGTTTCCATTGATGTCCGTGAAATTTCCGCACTCACTTTCGAAGTCTGTAGATTCTTCGAAAGATCACAGCGCAATCAATGGCAGACCGCATTGCAGGTTGTGAGAGAAGACTCAGGGAAGCGGGAAACAAGGAGGCGAGGCACACTGATTTGGCTTGCATGGAGGAGGAAAAGGGGGTACATGTCACGACAATGGGCTATCGATTGGAAAAAGAAGGTAGGTTGGCTGTTGCTCGATTTGGGGACACATCCATTGGCGCAACCAGAGCATTGATGTCATCATCGTTCCAGCATCCAAGAGCGAACTTGCACTGAAGATAGAGAAACAGGGAGTTTTCCAATGATGGCGAGCATCCCAATGCTACTTTCATGCACCATTTGCATACAGTTCTTTGACTTCTTGAACAAGTGGGCTCCAGGACCTGTTTGCCACCTTTGATGTGAGCAGCTTCAAGGTGCCACCGCAGGACTGGTGATGAGGTACGATGCAGAGGGATTGATCTTCCCAGTTCCCATCAGGAAAACTCCCCTCGCCAAATTCATCCAAATTCCATGAGAGCACCCTCTAAGTCCAAGATCATTTCACCATCATTCACCATTTTTCCCACATATTTCACCATTTTTCCCACATATTTCCCAATTTCTCCCCAATATTTCATCATTTCTCCCCAATATTTCACCATGTTTCCCACATATTTCACCATTTTTCCCACATATTTCCCAATTTCTCCCCAATATTTCATCATTTCTCCCCAATATTTCACCATGTTTCCCAAATATTTCACCATTTCTCCCCAATATTTCACCATTTTCCCCAATATTTCACCATTTTTTCCCAATACTTCACCATTTTTCCCAAATATTTCACAATTTTTTGCTAAATATTTCACAATTTTTCTTAAATATTTCACCATACTTCACCGGCCTGCTTTTTTTTGTGGGCCATTTGGGAATCGCAGGAGCCTGAGCCCAAGCCCGCAGCCGATGTGGCCCCCTCGCGCCTGGCGCGCGCCTTCGGCGACCTGCCGGCTGTGCCCATGAAGGGCCGGCCGTCAGATGCCTCCAGCAGCCATGCCACCGTGTCTGATGCGGGTCGCCCGACGGAAGCGGATGGATGTTGAAAGATATGGATGGAAACTCCATGAAACTCCTCCATTTGCTTCGGGGATTTTCCAGCTTGCCACCTTTGACGACACCGGAGGGTCAACGGAATTGATATTTTGGATGTATTTTGGATGTATTTTGGATGGATTTTGGATGGATTTTGGATGGATTTTGATATGTTGGGGTTATTTTGGGCCTTGTGAATGAAGTTGGCAGGGTGCAAAAGCCATTTACTTCTAGGGGAACTGGAGCCCTTGTTCTACTGTGAATGAGTCCAAGTTTGCTTGAAGTGGATGGGAGACCTCGGAACATGATGACAGCTGCTTTCAGCATCTTTTTGCATAATGTGGTAGTTTGCATAGGTAGATATCAAATGGGATCAATAGTATTCAACAGTGATAGTAAATGCATGTGTATATCATTGTATATTTGCATATGTCAAAAAACATGTACATCTGGATTAGAGACGTATCATGGCTTTTTTCCACCTTTTTCATGAGATCAGGGCGTTGAGAGCTTGACAGGTGAGGCTCGAGGGGAGACGACCTGAGTACAAGGTGAGGGGCAGCCGCATGGGCAGAGTTAAAGCTGAAGAATGGAGAGATGTAGAAATCAGAGAGTTCATGAGCTAAAAATGCTTAAAGTGTCTTAACGTATGTTAAAATGTAGAATGTAGAAGAATCAACACATCTACAGTAGATTCTGTGTTTTCAATGTTCACACACACACACACTCTAGGGAAAGATGTGCTCATACTTTCAGGTTCTTGAATACTTTTTTCCCCCTCGCATGCATTTCACATGGCTCAAATCAATGAAACTTGGGAATTCCATGGATTAGCCATTGTTTGTGCTAGCTTGATGACTAGTGATGACGATTTATTTTCATAGAGTGTCAGCTTCATGGATGCTATTTATAAATGGTCATTTATATACGGTCAGCAAACATGACTCCTTGCTTTACTTTTTCGACTGATGAATCATTTGCCCTTTGGTAAACCAACCTTAAAGTGGAAATCCAGCATTCCCAATTGGTAAACTCTGCAGTCATGGTGGATTTTCCATTCCCCAGGTTAATCACATCAATCGCCATAATTTAGCTGTGGCTAGAACATGCTGGAACATGTCATGCAAAGCTCAGTGAATCCAGTGACATTGTGATTTCAGGGCAGTGCATGCTCATCAATCCATCATACTCAATCCATGTCAATCTTCACACTAGCGCAACACTGCCGCGTCATGAGATCATGGCTAACATGGCTAATTGCCTTGGCTGGGATCAGCTTCTTCCTGATCCGCTTCCTCCTGGTCAGGGCCGCTGCTCGGCCTTGGTTTTTGATGACCTTAATTCAGCTGAAAGGTAGAAACGTGACAAAAAGCCAAGGCGCGGCAGGAAAGCTCCGAAGCACAGGCCTTGCTGGCAGAGATACCACTACCACTACCACCACGGACAACACCAAGTCACCTGTAGGTCCTGTAGGTGGTGACTCAAGTCCCGTCAGCAATACCACCGCAATGCCTTGGCATGAGATCCTGGTGAATTGCAAGATGGATGCGTCCACGCCCAGGGCAAACGAGGGTGTAGCACCTTTGATTTGTCCCCAAAGCCGATGCATCCTAAAAGCTGCCGACAACGGCTCCGCGACAGCTAGGGCTGTGGTGTTCAACCCCTTGTGGCCGATTTCCCAGGTGCCGTTGTCCAAGCCCGCTGGGCAACTTTGGGTTTATAGTTTTTTCTTTGAGGCGCCTGACACACATCAGCTTGCCAAACGAATGACTGCGAGGCTGTCATCCAAGATCGACCTCACCATGACGTTTCATCCCGGCTCGGACATTTTTCGCCCCTACCAGGCCATGCTGCCGCTTACCTCTGACGTACCTCCACCGGATTCGCGGGCAGATCCCTCGAAGAAGGAGTACTTGTTGGTTTGGACAGTGAGCAACTGCGGTGTCGGGCCCCGCAATACTCTCTTCAAAGAATTGCAATCAAGGTTGGGCTCTGACAGGGTTCATTTGTATGGTGGCTGTGGGAAAAAACATCCCTGCCGCAACCGGTTCGACACAGATTGCGAGATCAAATTTTACAGCCAGTATAAGTTCTATGCAGCATTTGAGAACTCCCGCTGCTCTGGCTACATCACCGAGAAGTTCTATCGTGGCTTTCAGAAGTTTATGGTACCGCTGGCCTATGGCGGAATCGGTCGCATGGATTACGAACATGTCGCACCCAAGGATTCCTTCCTCCATGTGGATGATTTCGGTTCGCTAGATGATCTTACCAACACGCTGAAGGAGATTGATCGTGATGATGCGCGTTACAGTCGCTTCCACGAGTGGCGCCAAAAAGTCAGATTTTCGATAGACCGTAGTATGTACAATGATGTTTTTAATCGAAGCTATTGTGAGATATGTGATCGGATTGACCATCCGAAGGGCAGTAGGCCCAAGCACGACTTGGACGAATGGGTCTTCAACTCATGCACCTCGAATCAACCCCATTGGAATTCTGATCGAGCCAACACCAGCCAACACCTGCCTTGAAGGTTGCAGATCGGCCACGAGACGCCAATCGACGAGTTGAGATCAATATCATTATCAAACCACACCTGTCAATGTCAACGAACTGCACCCAAAGTGGTGCAGGTTTTACATTTTTTAACATCTGACCGTGGTTCATTTCCAGCCCCACTTTGCGGCTGTGGAGTTAAGCCACCAAAGTTGCCGGACGGAAAACATAGGAAAACATCCATTGGTTTTCACGTGGGATCGGCGGAGACTTGAACAAATTGGTGACGATTTTCCGTAGGCTCCTAACGAAAAGATGGGAAAAGATGGGAACTGAGGCATAAGTGCATAACTTCACCAAACAGTTGAGAATAGTTGAGAGTGGCTTGGTATGGCTTAGTATGGCTTAGCGTGGCTTAGTGATGACGATGTCTCCCAGGTGCTCGGTTGATGTCATTGCGAGAGGTCAGATTTGGCGGACTTTTTTACTGGGACATTAGAAACCGTGAGATCCGGGATCCGGGTGTGCACCTTTTTGGCAGGGTTTAGGATGTTGAGGATGTTGAGGGCTTACTTTTTGCATCTCCAATATCCACTGGGACAACCCAACAAGGTCCCACTGTGATTTGGATTCAACTTTCTAAGCGGCGGTGGCCTGCGGTGGCCTTCAGCTATATTCCTTGCCTTCACACCCGAAGGAAGCTTGTGCCAAGTCACATGGAGTTAAGTTCCAGGTCTTCGAGCATGCCAAAGCAGCGCTCGAGAATGGTGGCATTGAATGAGAGTGATATTTTGCATCTTGCTCCGCAAAACCAGAGGAGAGGTGTGATGGTGTGATGGAGCCGACATACCACTTCCAACAACAGGCGGTTCTCTGGAGATATGACGAAACATGTTTGATACTTTGTCTCCAAAAGTCGTAAGAACCAAAGAAACTTGGGGAAGTGGAGTGATTTAATACTAACTGACTGGTGCTTAGCAGGGAATGAGGGAATGATCCATAGTCACTAATTAGTAATAATCATCCCATTCCCCCATTCCCATCCATTCCCTACTAAGCACCAGTAAGCTAATGGTGATAAATATGGTTCTACTGTGTGAATTGTCACTACTAGTAGTTGCCAAATCACTTGATCTAAGCATAGTGTCAGGTCACCGCCGTTTTAGATGGAGTTGGTGGGCAAGAGGGGGGTGAAAGGTTAAGAGGGTCTATAGCCATCTAGTCTGGGTGGTCAAATTTCACCAAAACCGTATTGAACCTATACTGATGAACAAACATCCGCCAAGTTGAAATGGTGGGATGTCGATAGCAGATGATAGCCGGGAGTCAAGAGGAAATATCTTCTTGGCATCCAGTGTGTAGGGGCGGGGATCAAAGCAGCTTCACACAGATCGCACCTCTTTTCCGGCTCGTGTGTGGCGATGCGAAAATGAGGACAGCCTTGTTCTGACATCCATCCAGTTGACAAGTCTCAGCTGATGTGCAAGTGGCTCAGGAAGGTTGTATGTTTTCCGATATTTTTGGTGGCACCGCGACAAATGGTGAGTAGGTGACATGAAACCAAGGGCTTTTTTGTGGGCCAATCGGACAATATACATGAAGCAACCTGGATACTGGATGGATATCAGTGCACGGGCAACGAAATTACATTAGACATCCCAGAGGGAAATCTGAATACAATAGGGCATCCGTCATGGAAATCCATTGTCTTTTCATGAGCAAAATATGATATTAATATATGTTAGTAATTAAATGTAATTAATATTAATTAATATAATGTTAAACATTTATATGTATATATTAATATATATATATACCAGCATCTTCGAAGTGACCTTGTTTAGAGGTCACTTAACATCAAACTGAATTGAGGTCACTTACAGATGCCATATCAAAGAGATCAAACCTAAGTGACCTCTTTTAATGTTTTGATATCGAAGGGGTTCAAACATCAAATCCTTGAACCACCAGCCAGAGGTGTTGGGATGGATGATGAAGAGATGATATGATAGCTCTGCGCCAGGTACGCACGGTCCATCGCAGCACCTGCGGGGCTCAAATGATCAACTTGGAATGGATTGATGTTTCAAACAAATGATGACCAATAACCAGTACCCGAGGGCAAAGATTGGCACATAGTAAAATGTTATATATGCGCTATATTGGAATCATAGTTTAGAGGGCACCCTTTGTGCTTTCAGCGTCATGGCCACTGGTTCTGCTGGCTCTACTATTCAACTCTCCAAGGACGGAAAGTAACTTGGTGAAACAGGGGTGGAAAAGGGAGTTGTTCTGGGTTTGCACACTAGCAAGGTATATAATATATATACAGCACACCAGCTCACATGTAAAATTGCAGTGCTATAGCATGATCAACAAACTACATTTCAATCTAAATTCAATAAATATTGCCCCAATTGGTCGTGAATGCTCTACCTGAGGAAGCTTCGAAAGGCTATTGAAAGATATATGCCAGACCCGAAGACTATCCAAGAGGAGCAGGAGCTTGTGCCTGGGGGAGACATAAGGATCCTAGGTAATGCTTGGCTGCGCAAAGCCTGGCAGAAATCTAAATGCACCAGGGTCCCCAGGGAAGCAGAGTTCCGGAAGTTGGTTCGCTTAGTTGCTGAACAACATTCCCTGTGCATCTTGGTTAAACATTTTTTTTGAATGATTGCATTGTCATGTGTTTATTGAACAACTTATGCTATCGATATACTAACACATTCTATGGAATAGCCAAGGCACATGGCAACGAGACTTCAATGACTGGGTTATCGAACAGGAAACCTGGCTTTAATTTATATATATTGCAGCCAATAAATTTCATAGGATGGCCCCATAAGAATCCACAATTGAGGCTGCCAGATGTCACTATGTGGTTCTACGACATCAGAAGATGAGCTTCAGGGGGTCCTCATCATCAACTATGACATCCAAACCATCGACAACGTTACTGGGCAATATAGGGTGGTGTGTTTGGTAAATAAAATATGCAACATCTGTTTCTGACAGTGAACCTGTATAATAAGGAATCCAGATGAGATGGAAACACAGCCTATGTTCGACATCCCGCTCTTGGATGAAGCAGCTATGCAACTTGCTAACATTTAAAAAAAAAGGGCCCTTCTGACCTTATTCTCAATTTCAAATTCAGGTCTGCTAGCGGAAGCCTTCCAGAACCTACTGAACATGTGGAATCTGAGGACCATCCATGGTTGAACCTTTAATTTTTTTTTTTTGATACCTGGCCACCTGTAACTTAAAATATCTAGTATATACAAAATGAGAAAATTATTTTGGAGGACCTTTTACAATCTATTTACTGCCTCCACTGGGCAGGAGACGTGTGACGAGGGCGATCGCAGAGGCCACAAACGGCCACCACCGTCAGAGTCAGCTGACAGCTCGGCTGCAACCAGTGATGGTGAAAATGATAGTGAAAATGAAGGGAAGACAGGAGTTGATGAACACACAAGCAGTGATGAAGAAAGAAACCACACAGACGAAGCTCGAGAGACACAATGCAAGACCAATGATGACACCAGTGAGGAAAGTGATGAGGAAGATGAAGTGACTGGTAAAGATCTGAAAAAGGAGGAGGACCAAAAACACACCGAGAAGGATGATGGTGAAGCTGATGAGAGATCCACTGATGAAGACAAAAGCAGCAGCGATGAAGAAGAGATGACAACGAAGAAAGGCAGTGAAGACATTGCCGAGAAGAAGACAGAGGAAAGCAAGGATGTAGCAGAAGAGACAAGCAGTGAGGAGGATGAAGAGATGACACCGAAGAAGGGCAATGAAGACAGTGCCAAGAAGAAGACAGAGGAGAGCAAGGATGTAGCAGAAGAGACAAGCAGTGAGGATGAAGGAGGTGAGGAAGGTGTGAAGAAAGATGACTCAGACAGCGAAGGTGAAGGTCAGAAGAACACTGCTGAAAAGACAGATGTCTCCACAGAGACAAAGGGCAAAGACGATGAGGAGGACAATGATGACACCAGTGAGGAAAGCGATGAGGAAGATGAAGTAACCGGTGAAGATCTGAAAAAGGAGGAGGACCAAAAAGATACTGTGAAGATGGCATCTGAGAAGGATGATGGTGAAGCGGATGAGAGATCCACTGATGAAGACAACAGCAGCAGCGATGACGAAGGAAAGACACCGAAGAAGGGCAATGAAGACAATGCCGAGAAGAAGACAGAGGAAAGCAAGGATGTAGCAGAAGAGACAAGCAGTGAGGAGGATGAAGAGATGACACCGAAGAAGGGCAATGAAGACAGTGCTAAGAAGAAGACAGAGGAGAGCAAGGATGTAGCAGAAGAGGCAAGCAGTGAGGATGAAGGAGGTGAGGAAGGTGTGAAGAAAGATGACTCAGACAGCGAAGGTGAAGGTCAGAAGAACACTGCTGAAAAGACAGATGTCTCCACAGAGACAAAGGGTAAAGACGATGAGGAGGACAATGATGACACCAGTGAGGAAAGTGATGAGGAAAATGAAGTGACTGGTGAAGATCTGAAGAAGGAGGAGGACCAAAAAGATACTGTGAAGATGGCATCTGAGAAGGATGATGGTGAAGTGGATGAGAGATCCACTGATGAAGACAACAACAGCGATGATGAAGGGAAGACACCGAAGAAGGGCAATGAAGACAGTGCCGAGAAAAAGACAGAGGAAAGCAGAGATGTAGCAGAAGAGACAGGCAGTGAGGATGATGAAGAGATGACACCGAAGAAGGGCAATGAAGACAGCGCCGAGAAGAAGACAGAGGAAAGCAAGGATGTAGCAGAAGAGACAAGCAGTGAGGAGGATGAAGAGATGACACTGAAGAAGGGCAATGAAGACAGTGCCAAGAAGAAGACAGAGGAGAGCAAGGATGTAGCAGAAGAGACAAGCAGTGAGGATGAAGGAGGTGAGGAAGGTGTGAAGAAAGATGACTCAGACAGCGAAGGTGAAGGTCAGCAGAACACTGCTGAAAAGACAGATGTCTCCACAGAGACAAAGGGCAAAGACGATGAGAAAATTCCAGCAATAGCAAAAGGAAAGGCGAAAGCCAAGCCAAACAACACAGCAAAAGGACAGGCAAAAGCAAAGGCAAAAAGTAGCGGACGGCCAAGTGCAGCTGCTCTTGGCTGGTCGACAGAAGGGATGACCGACTCAGAAGTTCATGCAGCAATGTCAACTGGGAAAGGGATTCCTCGCAAGAGAGCACCAACTGCGAAGAAAGCACCAGCTGCCAAGAAGAAAGCACAACAACACAAGCAGGAACAGGAACCCAGCAGTGATGTGAGCATCTCCAGTGATGAGATGAAGGGAAGCTCAGACTCGTCTACTAGTGATTCAAGCAGCAGCAGCAGCAGTGAAGAAGACACACCAGGGAAGTCAAGTGAGAAACCCACTGCGGAGAAGAAGGCTGGGGAAGGGCTGCACATCCGCCATGAATTCCCGAAATCGAACATCAGAAGGTGGACCACTCCTGGTTCCAGGTTTGAAAAAAGCAGCCTACAGGCAGTCAGAGAAGCAAAACAAAAGATGCAAGCAACACTTGCTTCTTCTTCGAAGCCTGAATGTCCACCGCAGGAGGAAAAGAAAAACAGTGACAAGACCGATGATGGAAAAGCGACAGAGGAAGGGGCCAAGAAGTTGCCTATTCCTACGCATCGCCGCCGTACCAAAAGCTTCAGACCCTTAACTTAAGTATACTTCACCCAAGCCCTAATCTTTCACCCCGGTTAACCACATATATCATAGTTAAATTTCCAAACTGATGAGGTCAACTGCAATGACGAGTTGAATTTGCATCTTATGAGGTATGAATTTCCTGGACCCAATTTCAATTCCTTATATCGTATGAGTGGTTTATAGTTCTATATGACCCTTAAGCTCTGGCTGCCCAGGAAGTCCTGTGAAGAAGGATGCACCCAACAAGACTGGATGCGACTCGGCAAAGGCACCTTGGCATCATCCTGGGATGGGTTCTTGACTTGTCTTCCTCTCAAGTCCTGCGCCATGAATGGAATCGGATATATTGTAGATCTACTTGTTGCCAGCTAAATCAGTTATTATGAAACTCGCTATAGCCATTCAATATGATGTTTTTCAAACTTGGCAATCCCAATCTTGACCCCATACACCATATAAATTGGCAATCCCAATCTTAACCCCATACACCATATTTTTTAATACCAGATATATATTGCAAACAACATTGACGTGAATTTCAGCCAACCCCTGTGTAAAATACAATTCCTAATCGCATGATATACACTTAAAACAAGTTTAACTTCTTTTCGGCAGGGACACCTGCTGAGTAAAATTCAGACCCCTATAGATGTATGATAAACTTTTCTCTCATACCATTTGCGAACAGTTTTGCCTGCTAAGGATGGTGTGTCAACTATCGTCGAGGTGATGCACGCGAAGGACTTTGCATTTTCGTCGTTCAGAGTTGCAATTAACCGATGCCAGCAGGTTGCACTTGAAAAGGCTGCAGCACCAATCCCATGTCCAGAAGACCAGTTAGCGGTCTTACATGCAACCAAGAAGAAAAATCGCAAGTCGATTCTTAGCTAGCATGGGTTTGTTTATGTTTCTTTGTTTTTCTGACTTGTACCATTGTCTGACAATGCCACTATATCTATATATTTTTTCATACAGTGATTGGTGGGGAAATGCAGCATGTACAAGAATGGATGACACTGTATCTAAGGAATTTCGAGCTTGTTGAGACTGTCAAACTGGCGCAGGACTGGCAGATTCAGGTGAGGAAAAGGCTGTCCGGGAAACTTGCCGGACATTTGTATAAGGTCTTTATCGGACCCGATGGAAACAAACACTATTCCTTAGCAAAGGCACGTGTTGCTGGGTTCACTGCGGACTATCAAGATGGCCGCACACGCCGTCGGAAGAAGCCCAAGGGCCCAAAGGGAAAGTGATGATATGATATTTCTAATTACTATATAAAACTATAGCATCACTGCACATGTTGACCCTCTGATCACTGATGGTTTTTCAATGATATGGGAAAACTCTAGAGCCCTGCAGTCAAGTTTTCGGGGAAACACCTGAACGATGGTGTGCAATAGCCCTCACTTCTCAAAAGTGTTTTGTTGTTTGAGGTTTCCTTTTAAAACAAGCTAAGCCAATGTGTGTTGCTACGAAGAGGTCATGGCTATGGCTTAGTTCAACTTACTCTGCAGTGTGCCACAAGGGGTTGTGGGGAAAAATGTGTGCTTGTGAGATTGCTTCACAACAAAAAGTGCAAATAGGCTGCATTGTATGTGTTGGCCTACTTTCCACATGTCTCCATTTGGTGTTTTTTTAGGCTCAATGTGCGCTCAACTCGCTGGTAGAACTTCACGTATTGTGGGCCCGGTTCGTTGACATGAGGGTTGCCAACCTCTTACCAATTTTGGCCTTTCTGGCGCAATTGCCCCGACCATCAGAGCCCAACGATTTTGTTTCCAGTCTGAATTGGGTGTTTTAAACACTTAGATCTGGAAAATTTATGCTTATTTTTTTTGGTGGTTTGGTGAGGTATCCAGGGGGCTCCTTACATATATCAGCTTTCCTGCATCTTAGGTTGAAGTTTGCGCTGGATGTGGCTCTCTGAGCCATGCTCTGCGGATGAGTGGGTATAATGGAAAGGAGTTTGATGTTTCTTGGACTGAAACACATTGACATCAACTAATATAATCAACCCACGAGAACCACATCTAAAGTGAATTATGCATACATGCTACACCCATGCATATGACAGTGGAAACATATTATATTATATGTGTATATCATATAAGGGGGAATGGGCACAGCTGCCAATGGCCACCAAGATCCTCTACTCCAAGAACCACAACCTGATGAGAACTGTGGGCTTCGTAACTATACTTGCTGCAGCAACCTGTCTGCAAAACAATGACCAACTGCTTTGAACGATATATGAAATGTATAGCTTAAAAAAAACAATAAATCGAAACTATATTATTCATATCAATGTGGTTCAAGATGCAATCGTAGAGAAATTACTCACAACACCTTTCATCCTCTCCGGCCCAGGTCTGGAACACGCGTCCTGGAGGAGTCTTGGTCTTTGCGCCACCTTGCTCGTCATGGGTGTTCCTGTCGAGGAGCGTTACCAAGCGTACATGGGCTAATCCGGGTGGAGACGAGTCCCGACGACTAGTAAAACTTGCTAACATCTTCATACGTCGAATGTTGTATATGTTTCTTGGCCTAGACCATATTATATGTGTTGTTTTTTTGTCAACTATGTCAGTGGTCAACATGCATGTTCTTGCAACCGGGTTGTACTTGACAAACTGAGTTTATTCTATGCTGTGAAGCGTGGAGTGCAGATTGTGGTGGAGCAGCCAGCTTCATCTGTCTTTTGGTGTTGGTTATATATAGGTTTGATTTCTGGGATCAATGTGTTAAATTATAAGGTCCACAAAAGTTTTGATTTTATGGGATAAGTGTTGTAAACAGTTTTTTTCCAACACGGATAACATAGATCGACCATGGATTCATATGGGATATTCTGGCATTTCACCAATGAGGTGCTATGGCACTGGGCACCTGTTCGGAAATTTCTTGTATGGTGCGGTGCGAGGATCCTCGTCATGAATGCATAGATACACATGTTTTCCTTTACCCTGATTGTCTAAGATCTCAACCACCAAAGTGAAGTCACTTAACCCCAAAAAGGGTAACTTAACCACATCAAAAGGGTCACAATGAAGAACTTGGGAACATCAACACAGGCGAGTGAGCTTTCCAATGGGATGCTATGGTGCACCCACATTGAAGATGACAGTGTTTCCTAGCATTTGAATTTATTTATGTTTTTTTTTCTGCACCTGGCACCCCACCATCCCAGAATACTCAACTGATACACTGCACCACAGCCCAGCCATGGTGTGCCACCTCAGGCTTTGGGGAACAGCAAAAGCTCTCTCCACCTTGGCGAGACCACTGGACATACGGATGCTCAAGGCTGCACTGGCAAGGAGAATATCTGATATGGTTTGTGGTGGTATGTGATCTCTGTATGGGTTAATTAAAACCTTAAGTAACCTGTGATAATAACAATTCTATATATTCGGGTCCATATGTCAAACATACTCGACCCCATGATCATATCAGCAAGTGCGTAACCTTTTGGATTTCGAAATAAATACTTTTAAGTTTCTCACAATACCTTTATCTATCTAAACAAAAGATGTTCGACAATATATTGTTTTACAAATGCATGTTCGATGATCGATCCATTTGGAACCAACCCGCAGTGATACGATATATCGGGAATAACAGGATGATGATCTTAAGACAAAAGTACCCTGAAATCAATGCATAACACATATGTTTTTTTTCAAATGTACTAGCTGGGTGTCAGTGGATATAAGGATTGGGAATTTAGCCTTGGAGTTTCCAGTGATAATATAAGGTTAACCTAAAATGGCCTGATCCACGCAGGAACCAATCCAAGCCCTTGGTGAAGAAGACCATATCCAAGTCTTCGGGAAAGGTGACGGTGACGGGGGACAAGAGGTGTCTTCAACAGTCGGCAAATTACCCACTGAGTTTTGGCCTGGCAATAGCTGGATTGGTTTCGCCAAGGGGAGCAGCTCCGTCAGTCAAACCGGAGAGGGTTCAAACATCTATTGGGGATAGCTGGTGGTATCTCGTATATGATGTTTTAATATACAGTATATCGGTGGTTGTGGGTAAAGGTGTTTTTCCCCAAATTAATTTCAGGGGGTGAGGCATGATCAGCCTACATGTGGGTATCTCAATGACCCATAGCAAATTTATTGGTACCTTTCCAAATCAAAAAAGTGACCCCTGAAGGACATTCAACTTTGCCCCGATGATCCTGACTATGACGATGATGGAGCCATTGATGACTTGATCAAGGGCCGAAAATATGCTTCGTGGAGAAAACTCTAGCAATTCACCTTTGGGGAATGCAATGTGCTGACAGGAAGAGTTCTTTTATATGCGTGTTTTAATGTTTCGAGGTCCAAATATTATATATATATGGGCATGGTACACAATAACCTATACAGCCACCATTCGAGGTATCTTAAGCTCAAAACTGGTTACTTAACCACCCCATAAGGGTCACTGTGAAGAACTTGATTTTGGGATGCATCACAACAAGGGACTTTTGTTCAATAAGCCACCAAAATCAAAAATCACCCTAAATTTTAGGTTGATTTTTGCTACTGTTAACAGGGGTACCTTGTTTTAGGCATATATAACTTGATATAAGCATATGTATAGTCCACCCTAGCTGTTGCCCCTGCAAGGAGGAATGTGACGCACAGCTTGGTTGCACTTGTGCATTTGCCGTGCAAAAGGTGCAGCCTGTATGCAGCTCCAATCCCAATCAGTTGGTGGTAACCAAAAAAAAATCCTTTCGACTATTATATTGGGCGCAAAACTTGAAATGCAAAGCAATTGCCAAGTGGGGTGATTCACCAAGAACATATGATGCACACCACAATTGTAGTTTCATGAAACACGGTATATTCTTTGAATTATGTCGATTTGATATGTTAGCTATTTTTGCTCTATTTAGCAGGGTTGGAGCTTGGGAACGCCATGGATAATCAATCGCTATCTGTTGGCACCCGTTTGTCGAAATTTCTCAAGCTCCCAAAGGGTGAACTTAAGAAGATGATTATCCAAGACCTGGAAGAAGTGGCCAATGACAAGATTTGCGCTTCTTGCGCTGCTGAATATTGGTTGCAGCCGTTCCTTTCTGAGTACCTTATCTGTTTTTTTAGCCTTATATTAGGTTATAACATGAATCCCTAAAGAATAAGATATGATGTTTTGGGAACAAACCCCATGTGGCCTTAGGAAAGACTACAAGGTCTTGTGCCGGACGAGCAAAGATTGCCGATGTGATCTCGACTGAGTTCTACAGTGTGAACAAAACCCTGCTAGCGTAATTAAGGTCTAATTGAGTTCAAACCCAGTGGTAAATCACTACTGGCCAGTACTTTAGATCACAGCTTCTCAACATTGGCAGAAAATGAAACAGTTCTGCAGTTCCACTGTCTTTGTTATGTTTTCTGGGGTTCCGAACTTCAGTTGTGATATCTCCACATTGCCTGGTCAGGACAAATTGATTTTTTGGCAAACCTAGGAAATTAGGGCATTCATTTTTTTTTCAAATTTCAGAGACATTTTGGCTTGGAAGGTGCGTGTCAATGCGTGTCATTTGCGTGTCACTGCACACAATCGCCCCGTATATCAAAGGGTCACTTAGGTATATCAAAGGGTCACTTAGGTATATCAAAGGGTCACTTAGTATATCAAAAGGTCACTTAGGTATATCAAAAGGTCACTTAGGCACCTTTGATATATAAGGTCCCAGCGTGTCACTACCGTGTCACTGCGTGTCACTTCGTGTCACCCACGGCGCATTTTGCGTTGTTTCCACCGTACGGGATTGCAGTTTATCTGTGATCAAGGACTGGGTGGGTATGCTTTCTTCCCTTCTCAGAGACCAAACTGAAAGCAAATGCATGGGTGTACCCTCTATTTCAAAGATACCGACTCTTCAAATACGTTTTGCAGGACCAATGGCCAAGGTGAAGAAAGTTAAAGCACCCCCTCATGAGCTAGAAGTGAAGGGATCCGGAAAGGAATCCAAAGAAGACAAGCCGAAGGTGGACAAGCCTGACAAGGCCAAAGACAGGAAGGTATCCCAGAAAGAAAATGTAAACTCCAATGCTGGCAGCAAGGAAGCCTCTTCGAGCAAAGAAGTGTCAGAGCCTAGCAACAGGAGGACGGAGAAGCCACAGAAAGACACAAAGGAGAAGAAAGCCAAGGAGGGTGAAGGTGAGACGAAGGAGAGGAAGAAGAAGGCAGAAGAGAAGGAATCACCCAAAGGAGAAGATTTGAAGACACCAGATAGCAGCAGCAGAGGGGCCTCTTCAAGCAAAGAGCCAGAGTCCAGCGAGAACAAGAAGAAAGACAAGCCAAAGAAAGACACAAAGGAGAAGAAAGCCAAGGAAGGTGAAGGAGAGACGAAGGAGAGGAAGAAGAAGGCAGAAGACAAGGCATCACCCAAAGGAGAAGATTTGAAGACCCCAGATGGCAGCAGCAAAGCAGCCTCTTCGAGCAAAGAGCCAGAGTCCAGCGAGAACAAGAAGAAGGACAAGCCAAAGAAAGACACAAAGGAGAAGAAAACCAAGGATGGTGAAGGTGAGACGAAGGAGGATAAGAAGAAGGCAGAAGAGAAGGAATCACCCAAAGGAGAAGATTTGAAGATCCCAAATGGCAGCAGCAAAGCAGCCTCTTCGAGCAAAGAGCCAGAGTCCAGCGAGAAGAAGAAGGAGAAGCCAAAGAAAGACACAAAGGAGAAGAAAGCCAAGGAGGGTGAAGGTGAGACGAAGGAGGATAAGAAGAAGGCAGAAGATAAGGAATCATCCAAAGGAGAAGATTTGAAGACCCACGATGGCAGCAGCAAAGCAGCCTCTTCGAGCAAAGAGCCAGAGTCCAGCGAGAAGAAGAAGGAGAAGCCAAAGAAAGACACAAAGGAGAAGAAAGCCAAGGAGGGTGAAGGTGAGACGAAGGAGGATAAGAAGAAGGCAGAAGATAAGGAATCACCCAAAGGAGACAATGTGAAGACCCACAATGGCAGCAGCAAAGCAGCCTCTTCGAGCAAAGAGCCAGAGTCCAGCGAGAAGAAGAAGGAGAAGACACAGAAAGACACAAAGGAGAAGAAAGCCAAGGAGGGTGAAGGTGAGACGAAGGAGGGGAAGAAGAAGGCAGAAGACAAGGCATCACCCAAAGGAGAAGATTTGAAGACCCACGATGGCAGCAGCAAAGCAGCCTCTTCGAGCAAAGAGCCAGAGTCCAGCGAGAAGAAGAAGGAGAAGCCAAAGAAAGACACAAAGGAGAAGAAAGCCAAGGAGGGTGAAGGTGAGACCAAGGAGGATAAGAATAAGGCAGAAGATAAGGAATCACCCAAAGGAGAAGATTTGAAGACCCACGATGGCAGCAGCAAAGCAGCCTCTTTGAGCAAAGAGCCAGAGTCCAGCGAGAAGAAGAAGGAGAAGCCAAAGAAAGACACAAAGGAGAAGAAAGCCAAGGAGGGTGAAGGTGAGAAGAAGGAGGACAAGAAGAAGGCAGAAGATAAGGAATCACCCAAAGGAGAAGCAACCTCTTCGAGCAAAGAGCCAGAGTCCAGCGAGAAGAAGAAGGACAAGCCAAAGAAAGACACAAAGGAGAAGAAAGCCAAGGAGGGTGAAGGTGAGAAGAAGGAGGACAAGAAGAAGGCAGAAGATAAGGAATCACCCAAAGGAGAAGCAACCTCTTCGAGCAAAGAGCCAGAGTCCAGCGAGAAGAAGAAGGACAAGCCAAAGAAAGACACAAAGGAGAAGAAAGCCAAGGAGGGTGAAGGTGAGAAGAAGGAGGACAAGAAGAAGGCAGAAGATAAGGAATCACCCAAAGGAGAAGCAACCTCTTCGAGCAAAGAGCCAGAGTCCAGCGAGAAGAAGAAGGACAAGCCAAAGAAAGACACAAAGGAGAAGAAAGCCAAGGAGGGTGAAGGTGAGAAGAAGGAGGACAAGAAGAAGGCAGAAGATAAGGAATCACCCAAAGGAGAAGCAACCTCTTCGAGCAAAGAGCCAGAGTCCAGTGAGAACAAGAAGAAGGACAAGCCAAAGAAAGACACAAAGGAGAAGAAAGCCAAGGTGGGTGAAGGTGAGACGAAGGAGGATAAGAAGAAGGCAGAAGAGACGGGATCACCCAAAGGAGAAGAGACAAAGGAAGGCAGCAGCAAGGGAGCCTCTTCAAGCAAAGAGGAGCTGGGGTCTAGCGAGAGCAAGAAGACAGAGAAGCGAAAGAAAGACTCACAGGAGAAGAAGGCTGATGAAAAAGGCAGTTGTGATAATGATACCAAGAGAACAAAGGTTCAACCAGTGGCTTTGGAAAAGCGACCCCCCGATGGATCCACTGGCTGCAGCCCTGAAAAAAAGAAGTTGAGGTTTGAATCAGAGGATGAGGCCTGATTGGGCACACTATATTTGGGTTTGTTGATGATTGGAGTATAGACCACCATATCGGTTATAAGTTTCACCTGACTAGTGATGTAAAAACAAATATTTGACATAGCTGCCATGGACAACTCATGGAAATTCAATAAGTTTTGACCTTTTGAAAAAAATGTTGGCCCCAGCTGCAGGATTCTTCCCAGAAGAAGCCGCCCATTGAGAAGGTAAGGACGTTGGCAAGTTTCGACATGCTCACATCGCCCTCTACCACAAGTCTGGCCTCTTCCCTGGAGGACTCCCATCATCTAAAGCTATTTGTTCTGAACAAAAAAAATCGGCATAGTTTTGCCCCTAGAGAAGGACTAACCTAAGGTATAGTATATATATGTTGCATTGAACCATTTTGGGGCAAGATCCACATCATGGCAAACTCTACACAGTTTAGTGAAACAAGAAAAAATACTGATTTCATTTTTCCAACACAGTTGGTAAACACTTTTTTTAAGGTTGGGTACACCCTACAGCTTGTTCTTGCAGGACCCCCCTACAGCGTCTTCAAAGGGTTCATTTGCCTCGACCGATGTCACAGGACAATGTAAACCGGGTTCTGGGGGTGCTTCTCGGATGACAAAGTTGACTGAAGAGCAAAAAGAGGACATTAGCAACATGGCTTCTCCAGCTTGCATGGAAGCTGCAGAACGCAAACGTCAGTATGCAGCAATGGGCCGTGCAATTGTCAAGAGTTGCAACCCGTCCCTCTTAGCCAAATACCAATTGTGCTCCGACACAGAGAGGTGTGGTGTTGGACACAAATCCCATCATATATATCTCATACCTAAAAGACTTTTGAAAACACCCAAAGTGATCAAAGGGGACCCAAAGCATATAGCAATCTATCATTTCATCATAAATGGGTGGAATTGGGCAATCACAGGTTTTTCATTTTCTTCTCACTACCTATACCCAATGACCCCTGTCCAGGTGGACTATGCTGAAACAGTGGATGGTCAATGATGGTGCATGTGATGCAATTACTGTCGAAGAACGGTATGTGAAATGGACTGAAGATCTACGAAGTGACCGGTACACCACTGTTCCTTAAATCGCATTTCACCATATATATATATATATAAATTTTCAACACAATTTTGGGATGATAACTATATCAATTTGTATAGACTTTCGGGCAACTTGGTGTGACTCAGTCCTAGGTGACCTTGCTGCAGCTTGAGCAGCGCTATGGGACCACCGCAGATGCCAAGGAGTTCATTGATGAGCTCATCAAAGGCCCATATTTGGTGGTTTTTGTATATCCATTGTGTATGATTCTACACAATGTTTTTGTTTTTCAATTGTTTTTTTTTGGAGGGGGAATGATCCCAGCTGCCATGGCTTACCTGAATTAATACACCTCATTAAGTGAGTTATTGTATGTAACGAGTATCTCAACCATTATTCTATGGATATGATCTAGATCCCCAATCATAATTCTTGTTTGCATAAAGTTTGATATATCAACTGGAATATCATATGAATAGCATGTGACTAGGTAAGGGGAAATATATATATATATAGAATATATCGATCTATAGAATCCTCCCCAGTTACTTAGTAGGATGGACCTCCAAGGTGTTCAACCAAAATTCCACTTTCCCCTGCGGGCCTTGCAGGACAAGCTGGGACGCCGCATCCACAGGCACCTGCGTGCAAGAAGGCCCGTATGTACAAGGTGCTGAACGAGATTTCGGAAGAGGTGATTCATGGCCAGAGGGCTGACACCAGCTTGAGTGTTGGGGGCCGTGTGCGAAATCCTGAGATGAAATCCATGTTGGCTAAACAACTTGGCCAGGGATTGCAATCCTTGGAAGGGGCTACGTTGGTTGACACGAAAACAGGTAGGATTGCTTCGAAAAAAGGGAAGAAAGAAAAAACAAAGAAACAGCTCGCTGTCGATGAGTTGAAAAAATGAAAACGAAGTTTCTTGGATCGATATGTTCTTATGGTACTAATGTTTGTTGTCAGATCAGATGTTGTAATGGACATGGTTATCCCGGTTACATTACCACCACCAAGGTTGAAGAAGGCAATCAAGGATCTTCCGGAAGTCTTGGACGCACTGGACAAGTATGGCATCAGAAACTCCAGTGAGTTGGTAACTTGCCATGAGCTGGTGTATTGAACCCCCAAAAGTGTCACATATTCCCCATTAATCTGCCGTTCCAGACTCCACAAATGTGACAAACAATCCACTCAGCTTGCCTGAGGAGGTGGCGTTGAAGTGTCATCTGAGACACCTTCACAGCCTGATGGAACGTGTGGATGAGCGGCTGGGCATTGCACTGTCGGATGTGGATGCTGGTGGAACTCACGATCCTGGGTATGCAATAATTCGTCTTTACATTTCAACACTTGAACAACTTGTGATCGAATATATATATATAGTTTCTGTATCTCAGGATTTCATCGACGAAATCAAGAAGTTTTTTGGCCCTGCGGATACTGATATCAGAGACGCAAAGCGTCGTATTTCAGTAGCAAAGGGTCCTAAGAAGAGAAAGGACCCAGCTCCAGCAGCTGAGATTCAAGATGGTAATGATGATGGCAATAACAATGAATCTTCCGTTGACAGCAGTGACGGTGAGGATGACCAATAGTGTCATATACCTTGGGATCTGGGCTGACTAATTAGTTCAACATATGTTCGCATTGTTCAACAAAAAATCTCAATGGCCCAGATCCAAATACAAAGTGTTTGGGGCTATTTTGGAGCAACTGCAATCAACACATGGTTCTCAGCCTGGAAATTAATAGAGTCCATTGCAGTTCATTATATAATTTTCGATTGTTCATATTGAAAATCATGTGTTGCAGTAGTGGTGTGAACACCACACGCCTTCCGTGTTGCCAGCCATAGGGGGGTGACAATGGATATGACCCTGGGAATAAACCTAATATAGTTGCAAATTGTCGCCCATGGTTGGCACATCTTTTTGGGGAACATGATCAATCAGATCGTGCCATTTCATTTTATCAAATTTACCATTGGGGTAAGATGTTGGCAGCTCATGCCAAAACTTTCAAAGTATGGACCGAGAGATCTTCACATGAACGGAAAACATACTGCTTCAGTGGCAATTTGTTATGTTCCTTGGCCCTGGCATGTGAAAGGGTTACATGTTCGATCTCACATGAATGTTCTGACAATTTCTGACAACATTTCAGGGTGCGCTCAAGGGGAGCTGAGCGCAAATAAATATATACTAGTAATATTATCATTGTGATTTCAAATTCAATATGTGGTATATGGAAGAACCACATCATAATGAGACCTTATAAATTTTGGGGAATACCTGAACAAGTACACCCACATTTCCTAATTGGTGGTTTCAACCCCCCTGAAAAATACTAATCAGATTGGATCATCATCCCAACTATTGAGGAATATAAACAATGTTCCAAGCCACTATTGTTTCAATACTTAGCTTTACCAAAGCCCTGATGATTTCTCCATCTGCCCTTCGCCTGTGTGACGATGGATGTTGTGGAAGACTTCCTCGAGCTAGGCCGACAGGTGACCTGACCGCACAGGGTGGTTTGGGTGATGGGACAACATGTGGCAGCCATTTACCTATCCTTAAAGAACATTCGGGAAACTCTATGTGGCCCCTAGGTCAGCATATCGACCCTGATGAAAATGCTGGAGGTGATTCGAAAAAGGTTTCCCAGACGGCTCCTACCGAACCTCGTATGCATAGTTAAACAAGAAATGATCATTTTGCAAATGAGTCAGTTTCAGATTACACCGATCATTTGAATCAATTTCAGAATCTCCACCACTAAATATTAAGCTAGGACCAACATGCGTGATCTTCTTCGAACCCAACATGACAGTGGTCGGAATGCTCCACGCAATTTCTGGAATTGGGTTCGGAGACAACCCTGGCGTCGGATGCTACCAGAACCCATTGAGTGCCCTGGCCATCATTTGGGGGGGATATTTGTTTATCCCGTTACATGTACTGATCAATCATGCATGCATTCAAAAAATATGACTGATTTGTCCAATTCTAAGGGTGCGAACTCCGTTGGAGGACAAGACATTGGAGGAGAGATACCATATGGGATCGTGGCATATGTTCTTGCCTTCGGAGGTGTGCTTTGGCTATTGTATTTTATGGCATTGTACCTGAATTCACTTGTCCCTCAAAATTTCTGGGTCCCACATCGATGTTAGGTTTGCCTCAATCTACCACTATGATCAGCGGTTGTTTCGAGAACGTTTCCTTGGGCCACCTGGAGTTTCTTGACTATGATATATGTGCAATGTACAAACAGCTGTTAATGCATCATACTGGCCCATGATCTTCCTATCTTAGGCAATCGAAGCTTTTTGGAACCACCAGAAAAACACCACCTGGTTCATGAACCATCCAGTGCTTTCTGACCCAGTAACTTGGCCAATTGCTGACATGGGTTGACTTTCAAAAAAAAAGTTTGGGGAAAAAGGAACACACTTGCAGTTGAGGCAACTGATCTTGGGAAGTGTGTGCCGCTTGTCTTTCATCAAGACGATGGTGAAGCTCACCGTCGCCGGAGCTTTATGGTTACTACCTTTGGTTCTGCAGTGATTCATGGATCACCTTGGGATTCTCGGTTTCTACTCTACTGCTCTGATGGTGCAAGATCGTGTTCAAGTACCTATGACACTTTGGACAGTTGGATCGCATGGTCATTTGTCGAGTTGTCTGTTGGAAAGTGGTTTCAACACTCCCCATGGGGTGAGGATTTCAAGGAGAGACAGGTTAGGGGTGGCTCTGTGATTGCCGATGGTTGGCGTGGAATACTTGTTTTTCACCGAGGAGATGAAAAGGCGTTGGCAAAAGCATTCCATGTAAAGAACACATGGGTGTCTGAGGAAGTGTGCTTCACATGCAAGGCGTCCCGAATGTCAGAGTCATCAAATTTGTATACTGGTTTTGGCAGAAATGCTCATCATCGCACTACAATAGTTGACTTTCAAGAATTTGTGACGTCCAAGTGCAATGCGAATGCTTGGACCCGGATACCGGGTTTTGACCCAAGTTGCATCCAGTATGACTGGCTTCATGTCTTGGATTTGTCCCTTATCCCCGATGCTGCTGCAAGTGCAGTTAGGATGCAATGAGGATATGTTGATCAACTCATATGTTGTGAGTGGTTTGTACTTTTGAGTGGCAACGGTACAGGTGTAAACACAATGGCACCCTAGGCACTCATCGAGCTTTGTGAAGATGAACATCCAGTTTGGCCTGGTGCGCTTTTGTTTGTCAATGGGTTGCGTCATGGCAATGTAATTGTTGGGAAGTGATACTTAGATCATTAGGCACATCCACACCTGGTCAGGTGCGACTGTGGACGATCGGCTTCATGCTGCCTATGTGGAATTTTCCAAGCTGTGCAAGGTTCACAAGATCCGTCTCTTGGTGCAACTATATCGTTTGCATTAAATTGTTCGGTGACCAGCCGGGGGAAAGAGTGGGTTGTTGTTACAGCCTAGGCAACCGGGGTCAGTTTTACACAAAGTCCCTTGGGTGCATGTAGTCTGCTAGCCACCTTTGAATGTGTTGCGATTGCATTGTTCACCTTTTCTTGGTAAGGAAGCACCTTGTCCCAAAGCAGGGAGCCTACCCAACCATTGCACAGAAGCATTTCAATGGAGCTGACCCTTGTCAACATTAAATCAAAAATCTAAGAGTTTCTTGGAACCCAATAGACAGAGAACAAAAATCAAACATTCAGCATGACTCAGGAGTCCGGAGTACTTGCAAAATGGTTGATGGGGGTGACTGTTGGCTTGGCTGCACAACATCCGGACGATGTTCATGTGCAGCTGCGTGCAGCAATTTTCGTCAATGCTTGTGCAATGCGAGATGCTGTAACACTACGTCAAGGGCCAATACTTACACCCACCAACTTACAGAAACTTGAGACTGCCAACTATTTGTTCCACAGCTCACTCAACTGACTCTCGGTGCTAATGGCTGTATGTGGGATGGTTTGCATGATCAGTGTACAATACCTGGGAGCTGTGTTGTGTTCCTATGAGCTAAGGGCTGGCCGCGGAGGCCATATCCAACCAACGGTGTTTATGGAAGTTGAGACCAAAACTTCATAAGTTTTTTGACTGCATGCTGGTGTTTTCAGTTTTGGGATGTTGCAATCAACATGGTTCACTTGTGGCTCAGGCTGGACCATATAGTCCTAGATGGTGCTCCACGTATCTCACCCTTGTGGGTGAGTTGCTACCAGGACGAGGACATGGCTGCTTGGTGGCATCTTGGGCATTTTGCTTGGCCAAATTTGAAGTTCCCAGTGTGTTATGATACCTTTTTTTTTGAATCAATTAAGGTGGGAAAAATCAAGAAGCTCGTAGTGATGGCTCATCCAAATAAGCTTGGTCGCCAAGTACTTCAACGTTATGCTTCGTTCGTAGCTGTTAGATGGAGTCGGCGCTTGGAGGAGTGATAGTTAACCAGTAATATATCTTTAAAAAATAGCTATAGTAAGCCATGGGCACTCAATGTTTACTTCCCACCATTCCAAATGCCGGCCTTCCAGTTGGCGAAGAGCTCAAGTGCAGCCAGCGCAAATGATGGGATGGATGAGTGACAATGGAAGAACAACAAATGCCATGAATTCTACCTACAATTGCATATCGATTTGAAGGGTAATACATGGCATTTGTTGTTCTTCCTTGGCGGGGTGACCTGGCAGGAGTGATGTCTTGTGGTGTGGGGTGAAATCAAACCCTTTATAGTTGAACCTAACGCTGAGATTCCCATTCATTAAGGTTATATGAGAATAATTTATCCTATGTTAATAAGTATATTCATCCATGGAACCTACAATAATTCATCCTATACTCCAAATTATCCTATGTTAATAAGGTTATATGAAAATAATTTATCCAGCTTTCCCCTAAGTGACCTAATTACCCCATACCAGCTTCTCCTAAGTGACCTCTTTTGTCGTTTTGATATACATGATGGCTAAGTGACCCTTTAAGCCCCTTTGATATCAAAACGACAAAAGAGGTCACTTTGAAGAAGCTGGTATATATTATATTATATTATATTAATTTATATTATGTGATTGGAGTGCAGGCTACGGTATATCATCAGTCAGTAGGTCAGTAGGAGATGTCTAATTCATGTGAGGGCCGGCTGAGCTTGCAACTACCGCCGGTCGGCTCAAGACACCGCTGACCCGCACAGATGCAAAAGAGCTGAATCCGTCGCTGCGGTTATTGGGAAGAACTACAAGGGCAAGACCATAAACTTTGAGGAATACACGATTAGGAGCTATACCATAGCCCATTCACAGGTTATCAGCCGTACGCTCTTATTGAGCGTACGGTGGTCCTACGAGTACATCGCCTTCGGCATCCCGGTCCTCCTGCCCTTCTACAAGTCAAAGACCTGCACTAAACGAAGGTGGACTGTTGGGAAGTGAAGGGATGTCACAGAAGAACCAATCGAGCAGCAACGACACGAGCTTTTCCTTTGCAAATGTAGCTCCTGCTCAGGCGATCAACGACACGCCTGGATCTGCAGAGAGCGGCGGCGGCACGGTCTCGTACCGAGGACCTGAAAGTGGAGCGTCTTCACAT